CCCCAACCAGGGCGGGACAAACTGCAACCGAGGTACATGCCCTTAGCGGGAACCGAACCTGGGCCTCTCTGGTCTGTGGGCCGATGCTCTAACCGCTGAGCCAAACTGGCCAGGGCAGAGCTAGTTTTCTTAATGATCAAGAGCTCCTACAATTTAATAAGAAATAAATGAATAAGCCAATAGAAAATGAGCAAAGGATCGGAACGTACAATTTACAGAAGGGGATACCAATTAAACCAGGAGATGCGCTTTTCCACTTGGCGTGGCGGCGATGGAAGGCCGTGGACGGGGTGGGGTCAGCGCTGCCCGCTGCTGTGGAAAAGTGACTGCCCGCTCCAAGCAGCAGCTCCACAGCTTCCGCCCTGCCTGCGCTGCGCAGACCCCTGACTCAGCAACTCCCCTGCCAGGAACCGAGCCCAGGGAAACCTGCAGGGGGGGAGACGCATGCACACCTGCTGCAGGACCGTGGAAACAGGAGGCAGAGCCTCCTGCCCAGCACCGACCCCGCTCTGCAGCCACAAAGCTCCTCCAGAGGGCAGAGGAAGACCTCAGAAACCCACTCTCCTGTAACAGCAAGAAAAACTTGACGATGTCAACTTTGCCAAAACTCGGAATTAACCCAAGACTCATAACAATCCAAGGAATGCTTACCCAAGAAAAACAGCGAGTCTCAGGAAGTGGGCTCTGGGGCTCCCATGTGCACCATCCCCACTCCCTCCACCAGCTCCTTTGGGAGCTCGACAGCCAACAGCCTCACTGCCACTGGAAGGGAGACCAGGTCTGGGCTCTCCCAAAGCCTCACCCTGACAGCTGTTGCTGTAGGACTTGTCTAGCTGCTGCCTGGAGAACTCTCACGAGCTTGTCCCTGTCTGGCTCGATGTGAGTGGCTCAGGGTGGTATGTCGGAGATGGTCAGCACGGTGTTGGAGGACGCAGCTGCCTGGTGGCACCAGCTGGGGCAAACAGAGGCTGGCCACAATCTCAAAAGCCCTGAGAAGACCCTAAGCTCTTACCTCTGGCTGACCTTGAAGCTCTACACAAGCAGGAAGGGGAGCTAAGGCCAAATTGGAACTGCATGGCTGAGTGTTGAAGGTGCACCCCCATCCCCAAAAACACAGCTTGTGGGGTCAAAGCATGTAAGGAAATCTTTGTTCATCATTCGCTGGTCACCAAGCTAACCCAGCAGAGACTTCAGTGGCCAAGCATGGCCAAGAACACAGATTTTACAGAGTCCATCAGACAATGAACAAACAAACAGCAACAACAAATTCTAGGAAGAGGTAGGTCTGATTTCCTGAGTTGCTACATCATATTATTTAAAATGTCCAATTTTCAATCTCAAGAAAATCATGAGACACATGAAGAAACAGGAAAGTATGTTCCACACACAGGCAAACAAGGAGTCAACAGAAACTGCCCCTGACTAGGCCTGGCTGTTGAACTTACTAGACAAAGACTTTAACTGACCTACTCTAAGTATGTTCAAAGAACTAAAGAGAACCACATGTAAAGAATTAGAATATGAGAACAATGTCTCACCAAATACAGAGTGTCAGTAACGAGAAGAAATTACAGAAGATATCCAAGTGGACATTCTGGAGCTGAGAAGTACAAGGCCTGAGAGGAAGAGTCCCTAGAGGCCCATCAGACCTGAGTCAGCAAAAGGAAGAGTCTGGGCCTTGAAGACAGGTCATTAGGTCCAGTCTGAGGAGCAGAAGGAAGGATGAAGAAAAATGAATAGGGTCTCAGAGACGAGTGGACACCACTGACCAAACCGACGCACACACAATGGCAGTCCAAGGGAAGGAGACGGGCAGGAAGCCTCCTTCAAGAAATAAGGGCCAAAAACCCTCCAGAGTCCACATCCAAGAAGCTCACTGACTGACAAGCAGTCACACAAACAGACCCCTGGATGCCTCCCAGTGAAACCATCAAACGACCGGCAGGTCTTGGAAAAAAGACTTAATAAGAATTCTATATCCAGCAAAACTGTTCTTTAAAAATGAAGGACAAATGAAGACAGTCCCAGACAAACAAAAATGGAGAGAATTCTCTGCTAGCAGACCTTCCCTACAAGAAATAGAAAGAGCATCTCTCAGGCCAAAGTAGAAGATACTACAGTCAGGTCCCACAAAGAAATAAAGAGCACTGATAAAGGCAACCACATAGTCAGATAAAAAATAGTATACATGTATTTCTGTTTGTAAATCTTTTCTTTCCCTCTCTGATTTAAAAGACAACTGCATAAAGCAATAATTACAAAACGATGCCGATGGCTCACAATCTACAAAGACGTGTTTTATACGAAACACCACCGAGGATCTGGGAGGGAACAGAGCTACCTCGGAACCAAGTTGGTGCATTACTGAAATGCACTTGGTATTAATTCAAACCAGATTGTATTACAAATATCTACTTAACACAGAAGAAAAAAGTAACAGAGGGAGAAAGAGAAAAACAAGACATGTAGAAAACAAATAGAAAAATGGCAGACATAAATCTTACCTTATCAGTACATTAAGGGTAAGTGGATTAAACACACCACTCAAGCAGCAGAGATTGGCAGAACAGATTAAAAACATGATCAACTATATGCTGCCTACAAGAAACTCCTTAGATTCAGAGATGAAATGAGAAGCAAAAGGATGGAAAAGGGTGCACCATGCAAACAACTAAGACTATACTGACATCAGACAGAAGACACTTGAAGACAAAAGCTGTTGGGAGACAAGAGGCCACGTTAGGAGGCGGCCACCAGGAAGAGATGATAAGTGTGAACAGACAGGCAGCCCTGGCCAGTGTGGCTCCATGGTTAGAGCACTGGCCTGCACACTCAAGAGTCTCGGGTTCGATTTTCGGTCAAGGGCACGTACCTGGGTTGCAGGTTCGGTCCCTGGGCCCGGTCAGGTCATGCGGGAGGCAATCAATCGATGTGTCTCTCTCACACTGATGTTTCTCGCTCTCTCTTTCCCTCCCTTCCACTCTCTCTAAAAATTAATGAAAAAAAATCCTCGGGTGAGAATTAACAACAAACAAAAAACTGTACACAGGCAGACCTTGTTTTATCACACTTCACAGACGTGTACTTTGCAAACTGAAGGCAAGACCCTCCCCCAATAAAAAGATGACACCTCGCGCCCTGGCCAGTTTGGCTCAGCGGTTAGAGCGTTGGCCTGCGGTCCGGAGAGACCCGGGTTCGGTTCCCGCTAGGGGCACGTACTTCGGTTGCAGTTTGTCCCCAGCCCTGGTTGGTCGTGCGGGTGGCAGCCACTCGATGTGTCCCTTCACGTCAAGGTTTCTCTCTCTCTCCCTTCCTCTTTCTCCCTCCCACTCTATCTGTACAAAAAATGGAAAAATATCCTCGGGTGAGGATAAAAAAAAAAAAAAAGATAACTTGCTTCACTGTGGTGGTCTGGACTAAGCTGCGGCGGTGCGGAAGCGTGTCTGCACACACCAACAGCAAAGCCCAGGATATAGGAAGCAAAGCCTAACAGAAACGAAGGGAGAAACAGACAACTTGAAATAGGAGCTGGGGGCCCGGCTGGTGTGCCCAGTGGTTAGAGCATTGTTCGTGCATGGAAGGGTCATGGGATCAACTCCCGGCAGGGCACATACCCAGGCTGCACGTTCAATCCCACCAATTTTTCTCTCTCCCTCTCCTTCCCTTCTCTCTAGAATCAATGACAAACATCCTCAGGGGAGGGTTAACAACAGTAACAATACAGCTGAGATGTCAACACCCCACTTTCCATCATGGATATGACAACGGAGCTGAAGAGCATGAAGACAGAGGAGACCTCCCCCTGCTGACCACCTGGCCCGCAGACACCTCGCTCAAGTGCGGTCTCCAGGACAAACGTCCGTTAGGCCACAAAGAAGTCTCGTGTTTCGAAGGGCTGAAGGCATCCAGAACGTGTCCTTTGGCTCATGGGGTGAATCTGAAATCAAACGACAGAAAAATTTGGGAAATCCCCAACTATGTGGAATTTAAGCAACAAACCCCGAAATGACCAGTGAGTAAAAGAAGTCACCAGAGAAGTTAGAAAATCCGGAGACGACAGAGACGAAGCACCATGCGCAGCTGCAGGCTCGGGGGGCCCGAGGAAGCAGAGCTCAGTCAGCTGACCTCCCACCTCAGAAGCCAGAGAAAGAGCACTGAGCCCAGAGCACCTCCAGGAAACAAAGATCCGAGTGAAAATTAAAGAAATAAGGATGGAAAAATAGAGAACAGCAACAAAATGAAATGTTGGTCTTTGAACAGATCAGTAAAGTTGATAAACCTTTAATCAGACCAACAAAATAAAAAATGAGAAAACGCGAATCTCCAAAATAATTTCTTCCAAACTTACAGAAATAAAAGGATTATAAACAAATACTACGGACTACTATATGTCAACAAATTATAACAACCTCAATGAAACAAACTCCTAGAAATACAAACTTCTGAAACCGACTCAGAAAGGAACAGAAACCCTAAACAGACCTACAAAACAATGAATTAGTAACAACAAACACAAACGAAAACTTCCCACAGAAAAAAGCCCAGGACCAGATAGCTTCACTGCTGAATTCACCAAGTGTTTAAAGAATTAACACCAATCCTTCATAAACTCTTCCAAAAACAGAAGCAGAAGACGTCCCAACTCATCTACGAGGCCAGTCTGATACCAAAGCCAGACACAGACATCACCAGGAGAAAACCATACACTAAAATCTTCCATGAATATAGATGCAAAAACCTTCAAGAAAATACTTGCAAACGAGACCGATGGAACAGCAAATACTAGTGAACCAAATGCAGAAACAACTCCTGTTTATGGTCCACTGATGACCGACAGAGTTGCCAAGATCATTCAACAGAGTAAAGAACAATTTTTTTTTCCTTTTATTGATTTTTTTTGAGAGAGAAAGGAAGAAAGAAGGAGAGAGAGATACAAACATCGATGAGAGAGAACATCGGCTGGCTGCCTCCTGCATGCTCCCCACTGGGCATTTGGCCCACAACCTGGACATGTGCCCTGACCAGGAATCGAACTGGGAGCCGAATCGACGCTCAACCGCTGAGCCACACGGCTGGGCGGGAGAACAACGTTTTCAGTGAATGGTGCTCACAAACTGACGTCCATACTCAAAACAACGGCACTGGAATCCCATCTCACACCATGTGGGGATTAGTTCAAAATGAATCAAAGACCGGACCTTAAGACTCTTAGAGAAAACAGGGGTGCGCCTCCCTGACCTCGGGTGAGGCGGCGGCTGCTTAGCCACGACACCAAAGCACAGGTGGCAGAAGCACAGAGGTCTCAATGTCATGGCAGTGAGCCGCTGTGGCTCAGGCGCTGTCAGGACAGTGGAAAGAGAGCGGGGGAGACGCGCAGACCAGTAGGGTCTACTACACAGAACACAGAATGAACTCCTACGACTCAAGGCAACTGAAAATGAGCAAAGGATCTGAACAGATGTTTCTCCAAAGATGCACAAACGGCCAGTAAGCACGTGAAAAGATGCTTAGTACCATTCATTAGGAAAATGCAAATCGAAACCACAATGCCCTCTCACCTCACACCCAGCAAGATGGACAATGACAAGCGTCAAGGAGAACGTGAGGCACCAGGACCCTGCACAGCTGGGGAGTCGTACGAGCGGCGGCTGCTGTGGAAAGCAAGTCAGGGCCCTCTGACGGTCGAACAGAGCCACACGTGTCCCAGCTATTCCACTCCTAGCCACATGCCCGAGAAGTGGAAACACAACCACACAGAAACTGGCACGAAAACGCTCCCGGAGCATCGCTAGCAGCCAGGACGTGCCAACAGACAGGGGTGGCCGATGGAGCGGCGCCTCCCTGTGACGGACGCTGTGGGCAGGAATGTGAGGTGACACACGCTGTGACCGGAGAACTCGCGACCACTGGTCATGAAGCCCAACGGAGGCCGTCATGGCTCCATTCAACGCAGCGTCCAGAGCAGGGACATCCAGAAACAGACAGTAGCTCAGAGGGTGCCTGAGGCTGGAGGTGGGTGGAGAGGCCACCAGTGGGGACGGGCTGCCCTTCAGGGTGATGACAACTTCTGCACGTACACAGGACTGTGCTGGATGCACCGAGCCGTCCTGTGGGAAGAGTGACTGTACGGCACAATGAAGCTGTTGCTGTAAATACAGTGAGGTAGCCCTCTGCCCTCTGCCGGGACCACCGCCAAGGCGGCGTGAGTTGGAAACGTGACAGGTAGATGCTCACATCCCTTGCGTCTATACTGAAGCAGCACTACACAAAGCGTGGACTTCCCAGGAGCCCCTGCAGCCAGCCCCGGCAGAAGGCTGGGGGTGGGGCTGGGAGCCACGCACTCTCTGGATGCCGACTGTGTGCCTTCCGTCGACTGAACCCATCGCGAAACGCCCCGGTTCTGCAAGGTGCCCAGGGACACGGCTGCCCGAGGTCACCCCCTGCTCCAAGGACCTCTCAGGCAGGCCAGACCCATAACCCAGATGGCGGTGGCCCCCCATGGCCAAGGAGCACCTGTACCCTCAGGCATTTTAATCAGAATATATACCATTTCCTCACATTTAACAAACAATAATGGAGATGGTGGCTGCTGCTAGGACCGTGTCCACCGCCCCCTCTGGCAGAGGTTGGGGAGCTGACAAACAGGCCCCAGCACAGCTGGCCTAGCCCCTAATTCAGCGCATAGTTAAACTGGTTCGCAAACTTCTCATGCTTCTTCTGGTCCATCTGGTTCATGGCTGTGACCACCCTCTGCACAGCAGCCCTGTGGGGAGAGCAAAGCGAGTCGTGACCAGGGAGGCCCAGGGCTCTGGGCTCCTCCTCACCGCCCAGCCGGGAGAGGGCCTGGTGCTGGAGACCACAGCGCCAGCCCAATCCCAAAGGTGGCCCTGCCAGTGGCGGACTGCACTCCAGATGGACACAGCCCGCCAGCAACGGGTAGGGCAGCGATGTGCAGGCCCCGCTGCTGCCCAGCCAGAGCGCCACGTCCAGAGTCAGGGGGAATGCGCAGGAACGTGCAGCGCAGACGGGGCGGAGACCGCGGGAGCCGACTGTGACGCTGGGTGTCGGCACTCAGCAGGCCTGTGCCCAGGCGGAAACTACCGAGGCCACAAAGCAGTGCCTGCTGGGTGCTGCCACCCTGCCAGGGCTCAGTCCCCCACGGCCTCCTGCAGGGGCTCCAGGCCACATGGCTACGAGAGCAGCCAGCTCTGGGCCCAGGGAGGCCGTGGGGAGGACACTTCTCCGGGTCAGCACCTGAGTTGCCCTTTACCCCAGGCTGACCCATGAGAACCAGCCTCATGCCCAGAGCCCGGGGACCAAGCCCTCCTCTGGAGGCTCCATGTAGGCACCCAGGGAGCTGCCCTCCTGTCCAGCCCCACTTGGACTGGGTGGGCAGCAATGCCGGCCAGGAGGGCAGGAGGGCCTCTTCTGCCCAGCACGCGGAGCCGCGTGCCTTCCAGGGCCGAGTGAGAGGTCTTGGCACGAGCCCGGAGAGGGGGGCCACAGCCTAGCTGCTCCCTGAACGAGAGCCCAGTGCTTCTGGAGACACGTGGACGCGGTGGTCCCCGCTGGCCGGAGCGCGGGACGGGTGATGGGCTGCTGGGCAGGCAGCCTTTCTACTGGGGTCCTGCCCAGGTCCCACCAGCCACGCTGGTCCAGCTGGGCCAGGAGATGCTCAGCCCCCCGCCCCGCAAGCTCGCTGTGAGAGCAGCACCCGGAGCGCCCGCCATCCTGTTGGCACTGGCCAAGCTCTGCTGGGGCTGAGGCCCGTGTGATGACCCCTGTCCAGCCAGACTTGGGGGTAACTGGCCTCCCTGAAGTCTCCATGTGGACACCCCTGGGCACTGGCCATGAGGGTCTGCCAGCCAGTACCCAGCCTTTCAAGGTCGCCAGGGCAAGGGAGACGCAGGCTGGCTCTGCACAGCCGCCCCCCTCGGGAAGATGCGCATCCGTCACCACCGGCGACCACTCTGAGCTCCACTCCTGACGGCCTACTGAGCCTTCTCGCTGCTGGCGGCTGGGAGCACCGCCCGCCTGGGGCCAGGGCTCGGGAAGCAATCGCAGCAGAGGGGGTGCCAGGGAGGCCTTGGAAGCGGCTGGGAGCTTGGTCGCCCTGCCCCCACCAGCACCCAGACCCAGGCGGGGCAAGGGCTCTCACTTGGCGAAGACCTTCTTGGCGATGCGTGTGCGGGCCGTGTCCGTCTGCCGCTTCAGGTCAGTGAGGCCGGGGTGCCGCCTCCTCTTGCCTCGGCCTCTCCTGCCAGCCCTGGACGAGCCTAGATCCACACCCGTGGCCGCCTCCACGTCTCTCATAAACTCAGGATCCTGCCAGTCTGCAAACAGACCCGAGACTTCAGGAAACACCCGGCACCAACCCCAGAGCCTCTCGCCCAAACCTGATCCATCCCTGACACGGCCACTTGGGTCGCCCACCGTGATGGGACAGGGAGGCCTGTTGGCAGTCCCCAGGGTTGAAGACAGGGCTCCCCACCACCTGCACCCCAGGATGCTGCGCTCACACAGGCCAGGAGAGCTGGGCTGCAGGAGTGCCACCCACAGACAGCTTCTGGCCTCCAGGCTGGAGGGAGCCCCACCAGGCTCCCCATCTCGGCCTCTGGACCCGCCTGCTGGCCAAGAGCGGGCATAGCAGGGGCGGCCACAGCTGAAGGGTCAGGGCGGGCTGTGCTCTTTGTATTGGTCCAAAGGTCACCAACTTGGCTGCAGGCCTCAGCAGCGAGGGCGTCAGCTCGCCCGACAGCCTGCACACGTCCCTCGCAGCCAGCCCTGCAGGCAGCAGGAGGGGCCCAGGGGTAACAGCGCCCTCGGCTGCAGGCCACACAGGCTAGGCCCCTGGGCCCCTGAGCAGGGCTGCCGAGAGCTCCAAGGGGCTCCGAGGCAGGGCAGGCGTCAGGGTCCGAGGCCACCAGTGCCTGGTTCAGTGCCACTTCCTGCCTCGGTCCGGCTTCCTCGTCCCCAGCGAAGGCTGTCCGCTCTGCAAGGCCACGTGGGCCCGCGAGTGCAGCCGGCTCAGGGCCACGTCGCTCGGCACTGAGAGCACAGCGCCCCCCACGCGCCGAGCCGCAGGCAGAGAGCCCGGCTCAGAGGAGGGTGTGGACGCCCACACCGACAGGCCCTCCACGCACACAGGACCTACAGTGGCTGAGAGCAGGACGCGCCCGGCGCAGGGAGAAGCCGCGCCTCGGACAGACAGACGGCGAGGCCTCCCCAAGTTGATTTTTTGAAGTGAAGGAACACGGGCTGCACAGCTCAGATACAGAGACGATTAATCCAAGATTAAGGAAAACTGTCTAAACAGTTTATCTCCCAGTAATAAGAAGGCGTCACAGTTTAGGAACCCAGTGAATGGAGCAATTGTTTAAACACAACGGGAAAACGCAGCGCCCGCTCGAGATGGAATGAGCATCTCAGTAAAATGAAGGAGCAATTTAAAAGCCTTTGAAGAAAATCAATAGATGCTGGGGCGCGCAGCCTTCCTGCGCTGACGGCCCTGGAGCTCGCTGCATTGTCCCCGAGGTGAGCGCCGGGGAAAGAAAATTGCCCGCGTGCAGGGAGGCGGGATCGATAGGTAGTTAGTGAGGAGATGCTATTTCACATCTGACTGGCCAGCGCCGGCCCGCGGCCGCGGCCCATACCTGTTGTTAACAAGTCACCGCGGGCTGGAGAACCAGACACTCTTCAGGGCTGACACAAAAAATAGGCGCTTAATTTGCTCCTGAGCGTGCCACCGGGAGGCCTCGGCCTGCGGGTCAGGACCCTCCAGCCCAGCCCTGAGCGTGCCACCGGGAGGCCTCGGCCTGCGGGTCAGCGGGTCAGGACCCTCCGGCCCGGCCAGGGCCTGGGACCGGGTATCAGGCTGAAATCTAATCTTTGTCTCTTACCACAAAGGGTAACACCCCACTAATGACAACAAACCGCCCGGCTGGGACCCTCCATGCTGGCCACCTCTGCCTTTCTCAGGGGTCTGGGAGGAGGGCACCAGGATGCCCAAGGCCTCCAGACTCCAGTCAGCTGAGTGCTCTCACGTGCCACCCTTCTGGTGACGGCCACTTCCACGTGCCACCAACCGGCCCTGCGTTCAGGCCCCACGTGGGGCCAAGGGACTGCCAGCCCACGCACACGTCCTGTGAGAAGCTCCCGAAACTGTACCAAGGATGACGTCCAGGTAGCTGCAGCTCACTGGCCATCTGATCTGAAACTGGCCAGTGCAGGAAAGAGCCCCGACAGGGCCCAGGAGCGCTCTGGAGACCAGGCCCAGTGCCGGCGGCCCAGCGGCTCGCAGCATCCCCGCTTCCTGCCAGACACACACACCACATGCATCACACGCGCGGCACACAGATGCACGCGTGCACACACCACGCACGTGCCATATACACACAACACACAGACTCCATGGAGGGGGCGGGGCTTGGCCAACGCCAGACTGCAGGGATCAAGGAAGAAATGAGCTGGTTTCCTCTACGTAGCATGGGCTCAGCCAATTAGCTTTTCTTGCCTCGATTCCTTCATCTGCTTAAAAAACAGGACTCAGAACCCAGAACCCCACCGAACCAGTGGTGACAGGTGGTGCCTGGTGCCCACAGCCTCCCATCAGGAGGGCCCGTGAGACCCCAGGCAGCGTGGGCCCTAGATGACCCAGCTGGAGCAGCAGGGCTCACACACCTGCCCTGGCGGCTGCGGGCCTGACTGTCCCGACACGGTGCCTGACCCACCTGGGCACCTGGCCTGCCTCTGCAGCTGCTGGCTCTGCTCCCGGGCCCTGTCCTCCGGGCGGAGGGGCCGCCCCATGTCGTCTCTGGGGATGATCTTGCCGTGGAACGGGCACTGCGGCAAAGCAGAGTGGTCGTCAGCTTCCGTGTCGCTGCCCCCCACCCTCCACCACCCTCAGAGGGCCTGGGTGCTGCCCTCAGGGACCTGGGTGAAGGGGTGCCCGAGTCAGACCTCCCTTCCAGCCCAGGCCCAGCACAGAGCAGGCAGGGCCCAGATATTGCCCTCAGGCCGGAAGTCAGTGGCCGAGCCATCACTGCAGCTAGAACAAGACCAGCCCAGGCGCTGGCCCAGCCCCGCAGGCTACCGGAGCCCGGCCTGCCTCCAGCCACCAGGTCCCGGCCCAGGTGCCAGCAGCCCTCCCCCTGCTGCAGCCTCACCTTCAGCCGGTCCTGGCGCTCACAGAGTCGGCCGTCGGGCCTGGGGGCGCGGCACCGGTGCTGCACGGGCTCGAACCTCCCTGCGAAGGTGATGTGGCGGCTCCGCAGCAATTCCGAGACCTCAGCGCTGCCCACCTCCTCGTCCACCTCACGGGGCTTCCAGAAGCGGTGCTGAGACTCCGCCCTGCAGGGGCAGCCGTCAGCCGCTGCGGGGCCACCCAGGGCTTCAGAGCACACGGACCCCCCCCACCCGCCCCACGGGCTGCAGAGCCAGGGGGTGGCTTCCGGGGCATCCTTGCAGAGCCCAGCTCAGCCCACTGGGCAGGAGTCTAGGGAGTCAGGGGGCCAGGGCAGTGCAGACAGGACCGGAGGAGCTGGAAGGGTGAGAACGCGCCCTGGGTCCTGGTGCCCAACCGTCCCAAAGGACAGCACAGGACTCTCCCAGGGAGCAGACAGGTCCAGGAAAAGCCCGAGGTACTGGCTCGGGCTAGGACAGGGCACAGCCAGGAGACAGAGCCAGGCCAGCGCCCAGCTGCGGGTCCCCCGGGTAGAGGTGGGGAGCAGGCAGTGGCCCGCAGGAACCAGACATGCCTGTACTCACTTGAGGACCTTCCCAACCGCCGGTTGCTCCTGGCCCCAGTTGCACAGGTCCACCCCAAAGGGCACGACAGGCGCCCGGGCCCGCTCTGCTGCCAACTTCTCAGCCTCCTCTGGCCCCAACGGTGCCCTGCAGGGGCCACGTGAGCAGAGAACACCGACTGTGCACCTGGGTCAGCACAGCCACCGCCTCTCCTCTCCGAGCTCAGACCCAGGGCCAGCACATGACCAATGACCTCTAACCTCGAGCGGGGCTCTAGGAGCTGACCTGGGACCTGTGGTCCTCACCCTGGGCCTGGGTGCCCCATGTCTACCCTCACACCCAGAGCCTCAGGCCCCTCCCCTAGGCCCAGGTGCTGGCCTGGCCAGGATGCACACCTAGGGCTGCCCCCAAGGAGCCCAAGTGGCCTTGGGAGCCTGGGGATGCACGCCTGCTCTAGGCAGAGGCGGGGTGACCGGGAGTCACCTGGGGCTCGGGCATGGGGCTGGGGGCAGGTGGCCCCGGAGCCGGTGGAGCTGGGCAGCAGCAGAGGTGGGGTCGCTCGCCTCCTCCTCTCTCCTCGTCCTCTTCCTCACCTGCAGGCCCTGCGCAGCCAGGTCTTTCCCCAGCCCTGAAACACATGTGTTTACTGGTCACCCGGAGGTGGTCAAGTGGTCGAGAGGCTGCCCACACGTTAGCGGTCGAGCTCTCCAGCAGCCCACGGCGGCAGTCCACGGAGCGCCAGCCCTGCCCCCAGCCAGCCGAAGCCACGAGGCTGGCATCTCACCGGTACCCCCACAGGACACGGCCACAGACGAGCCGACACGCCTCTGCTCCCTGCAGGCAGTGCCCCGTGTCCCCAGGAGACAGAGCAGCATCTCTGCCCTCTACACCTGCTGGCCAGCCTGCGCCACACCAATGCCCACATGGGCGCCAGCCCAGCCCCAGGAGCCAGGTCACCATCTCATGCAGGGGACGTGCAGACACGGATAACAGTGGATGACAAACATGAAAATGAATCTTTGGGAACTAGGGATGACCGTCAGAAGAATAAAGGTTTCTTTAAATCCTCACCTGAGGATATGTTCATTGATTTTAGAAAGAGGGAAGAGGGTGGGGAAAGAAGCATCGATGTGAGAGAAGCATCAATCGGTTGCCTCCCTTACGCTCCCCAACCAGGGATCAAGCCCACAATCCTTCTGGTGTGCGAGACGATGCTCCAACCAACCGAGCCACCTGGCCTCGAAAAAGAGTAGATGCTTTTATTCCACTGGATGGATACTTTTTAAGCCACAGAAAAAAGTTAATCTAGCAAATAAAAGGCAGAAAAAAGGAAAAAATTAAACAGCAAATCAAGAGAAGTGTAGAAATCAAGTGACAGCCACTGACCAGTGAAATACGGCGACGGTCATCTGAAGGACGGAAGCCAATGAAAAGGAGGGTTGATCAGCCCAAGGTGTTAACATTTGCTGTCTGTGTGAGGGACCCTCTTCAAGCAGATGGTTAACAAGAGGTTGAAGGTGAAGGGATGGGAGACGGTTACTATGCCAACAGGACCCAAAGAAATGCTGAGAGTGTAGCCAACATTAAAACAGGAGGGGTGAGCCTGGTGGTGTGGCTCTGTGGTTGAGCGTCAACTCTGCACCAAGAGGTCGTGGTTCGATTCCCGGTCAGGGCACATGCCCAGGATGTGGGCTTGATCTCCAGTAGGGGGTGTGCAGGAGGCGGCCATTGATGTTTCTTTCTCATTGATGTTTCCATCTCTCTCTCTCTAATCAATAAAGAAAAAAAAAAAAACTTTAAAAAAGGAAGGGTGAGCCCTTGCCAGTTTGGCTCAGCAGATGAAGCGTCAGCCCGTGGACCAATGAGTCACAAGTTCAATTCTGGTCAAGGGCACGTACCTCAGTTGCAGTTCGTCCCTGGCTCTGGTCAGGGTCATGTGAGAGACAACCAGTCAATGTGTCCCTCTCATGTCAATGTTTCTCTCTCGCTTTCCCTCCCTTCCTCCCACTCTATCTGAAGATACATAGAAAAATACCCTCGGTTGAAGATTTAAAAAAAGGAGGTGTGGGCCCTGGCCAGTTTGGCTCAGTGGTTAGTGTCCAGCCATGGACCAGAGTGGTGGGTTCGATTCCGGTCAAGGGCACGTACCTTGGTTGCAGTTCAGTCCCGCCCGGGTCAGGGTCATGCGGGAGGCAGCTGGTAGATTTGTCTCTCACACTGATATTTCTCTCTCTCTCTCTCTCACTCTGTCCGAAAAAAAATGAATAGAAAATACCCTCGGGTGAGGATTTTCAAAGGAAGAAAAAAAGGCGGGGCGGTGTGGTCAGAATAAACGCAGGGCTCTGCAGGATGTTGTGGGCCGTGGACCCTCAGAGTGTGGCCCGGGCAGAATGAGCAGGATCCGGGTTCAGAACAGGCTGAGGCTTCATGTCTGAGAAACCCTTTCAAGCACATGTAGGTGGACGGGTGCCCAGGTGAGGAGACCACCGCCCTTCAAAGACCCCGTGTCACCCAGATGGCACCCGCCAGCCACAGGCACTCAGAGGGAGCATGACAAAGGTGACCCCAGACAGGAGGACTTACAGGCGCACACGTTCCACCACCACCCCCGAAAGCAGACGGGCTGTACAGTCCACTGACTACGGACCTCTGTCCACCCATCCACCTGCACAGGCGCGCGGGTCAGACTGAATGGGGGCTAACCAGCATGAGTACTGGACACAGGACAGAGCTTCCTGGGGAAAAAAGGGTGGGATGGAGGGGTGCGACCAGGAAGGGCAGCCACCAAACAAATGGCTGTCTCTGCCCAGGCATGGCCTCTGCAGGTCAGTGTGCCCACCTGCTCATCACTGCCTGGCAGGGTCCCAGACAGGGTTGGGAACAGGGATCAATCTGCTCTACCTGATTCTGTGCCAAACTCATCTGCCCATGCTGTTTGTGCGGCTTTCGCAGAGGGTGGAAGAGGTGAGCAGAGGTGAGTAGTGGTGAGCAGAGGTGAGTAGTGGTGAGCAGTGGTGAGTAGAGGTGAGTAGAGGTGAGCAGTGGTGAGTAGAGGTGAGTAGAGGTGAGTAGTGGTGAGCAGTGGTGAGTAGAGGTGAGCAGTGGTGAGTAGAGGTGAGTAGAGGTGAGCAGTGGTGAGTAGAGGTGAGTAGAGGTGAGTAGAGGTGAGCAGGGGTGAGTAGAGGTGAGTAGAGGTGAGTAGTGGTGAGCAGAGGTGAGTAGTGGTGAGTAGAGGTGAGCAGAGGTGAGTAGAAGTGAGTGGAGGTGAGCAGTGGTGAGTAGAGGTGAGCAGAGGTGAGCAGTGGTGAGCAGAGGTGAGTAGTGGTGAGTAGAGGTGAGTAGTGGTGAGTAGAGGTAAGCAGAGGTGAGTAGAAGTGAGCGGAGGTGAGCAGTGGTGAGCAGAGGTGAGCAGAAGTGAGTGGAGGTGAGCAGAGGTGAGTAGAGGTGAGTGGAGGTGAGCAGAGGTGAGTCGAGGTGAGCAGTGGTGAGCGGAGGCTGCACGTGGCTCAACGGGTTCACCTGCCCACCCTTCAAGATTCCACCCAGCCTGCCCCAGGCACCCTTCAAGCTCTGTACTCTGCTGTGTGAGCATGGGGTCCACCCCTATTCCTGGGGTCCCTGCTAATAGTGGAGGACACAGGACAAAACCACTTAGAGGTGACTGGGTCCACCGCTGGCCACCTGAGTGCATGAGCTGTGCACACGTGGAAGGAGGCAAGCCCCAAGCTGGCTCTGTCACCCACACGGCATCTCAGGCCCCACCAACACAGACGTCCGCACGCCCACTTGGGCTTCTGACTGCACGTCAGGAACACCCGGGGCCACACAAGCGCACACGCCACCCACACAGGAGGCAGAGGATGGTAGGTGGACACTGCGCGGATGGATACAGTCACAGCCAAAGATCAATAGGAGAATTCCTGAGTTACAAGAATGAAATATATTTTCCATTGATTTGTTGTTTTAAACCATTAAAAAGATGGGTAAGCGTGTTAGAGCAGGGTAAATACTCGGGGCACTAAAACCCAGCACTTCACCCCGCGGTGGAAAATCGATCTCGCTGACATACTTTCAGTGGAACCCGGCCGGCAGAGGAGCTCGGCCTGCGGGAAGGGGCTGCGAACAGGAGCCATCACCACAGCGCCACCCACAGGCTTCTGGCTCAAGTACAGGTCTGGGTGCAGACTTACTCCCAAGATTGCTTTTAGAAAGAACATACAAATGCCCAAATCTCCTTTTTTGTTTAAATTGACCAATTTGCCTGGAGCATTAAGGCGCCGGGGTGGGGGATGGATCAATCGCAGGAAATGGAGAGGCCGGGGCTTCCACAAAGTCAGCCTCCCACCTGACACTATCGATTTTGCCTAGTTCAGCTGGCCTTGTAATTAAAATGTAAATTTGAGAGAGAGATTACGTCCTGACAGACGCAGGATTAAGGAGGAGATGAAACCCTCCGTGAAACTCAGAGAATGAGAGCTGCCTGGGCTGTGGGCTCAGACTGCAGGGCCCAGACAGCCCTCCGAGGGGAGCAGCGCCGACAGACCGAGCTGTGAGCTGCTGGGGCGTGCCCATGCACCAGGGCTCGAGCACCCGGCTGGAGGGCACACGGGTCAGCCGCCCTCTTCCATCTAGGGCCTGAGAGATCCATGGGGGAGGGGCACGGGGTCACCAGGTGGTGTGACCCTGGGAACAGGAACCCCACCCCATCTGCCACAGGGGCCTGGGACCCCCAGACCCTGTGCGGGCAGCACACTGCTATGCCCACCTGTTTGCTCCCGTTCGAGAACGTCAACAGCCACACCTGGCACCCACATGTCAGCGGCACCTTCAAGGTCACACGTGGAACAGTGAGCCATCCGGAGAGGAGGGCGGATGACGGCTGCAAAAGCCACAGGGTCTCTGCCTCCCTCGTGAGGTGCCTGTCGCAGCCAGGCATCCCGTGGGCACTGTGGACGCAGCCCTACAGGCCAGTAGCCTCGGGTGCAGGCGACAGGCCGTGGCACAGCCAGAGCCGAGCGCCAGGAGCATGGAGGGACCTCCTGACCTCTGCAGGACGCCTGACAGGGTAGAGGGAGGGGCCAGAGGCCAGAGGCCTGGGCAGACAAGACCGCCTGAGCCGAAGCATGAAGGCTGCTGCTGGCTGCCAGGCTCCGGGCTCCAGAAACTTGGAGCAGTGGCTGGGGGCCAACCAGGCTGTTCCCTGCAGTCCTGTCCTCTGCCCACTACACCCACCTGGGCAAGGGCGGCCTCAGGTATGGCTGGCCTGCTGGGCACACCCTGGGCACAGGCAGGCAGCCACTGCACCTAGGGTATGGCGTGAGACTCTCCGAGGTGCCTTGTGGGTGTGGGGCGAGGCCTGTGACCCAAGGTCAGGTTCGGATGAGCAGGTGTCACCCAGTGGTCAGAGGGAGACCTGCTCATTGCTATGCTGGCCGGGACCCAGGAGGGCAGGACCCGCCTGGGGAGGGTCACACAGTACGGGCAGGAACTAGGTGTGTGGAGGGCTGTGAGTCTGGCTGCAGTGACCTGGTGACGCACAGGGATCATGTGGGCACACTTGTGTCCAACTGTGTGAGCTCCCTGCACATGGCCACCCCACTCCACTCCGGTCGACCTGTCACTCCCACCAAAGCCACTGCCTGGCTTTTATCTCCTCTGGACATGAGCCGCTGCCACGCGCGTGGCCACCTGACGTGGGCCCGCCCCTCCCTAGAGAACCAGTCCTGGATGCGGACGTGGCTGCAGAGGGTTTTTGAAAAAGAAGAATCTTTCAGACAGGACAGGTTGGTTTGCGCTTCCCAGGGCCCATGCTGCTCTGCGTAATGGAGTAAACAGACACCTTGGGCCAGAGACTGGTCTGACTCCTTGAACAGTAAGGACAGATCCACCTTGCTTGTGACACCCCCAAGAAATGGCGACTGGGGAGCAAGGGAGCCTAGAGAACATGGGGTGGTTGCCCCCTTGCCCACAAGAGGCAGCCCACACAGCAGACCGGCCAACCCCACCGAGGGCAGGACCTCGTTCCGCCCAGGGACAGCCGCCCTACCCCTGCACTCACCCAGGGAGAGACCTTTAGCTCCTGAGCAGGGAGGTTAGCACAAGGCCTCTGAGGCTCTGCTCTGTGTGGACAGGTAGCTACATCCCAGGAACTGGCAACAGAGACCCACTGGGCGGCCTCGGGGTGGGGGCAGAGCACAGAGACCCACTGGGCAGCCTGGGGGGGGGGGGGCAGAGCACAGAGACCCACTGGGTGGCCTGGGGGGGGGCAGAGCACAGAGACCCACTGGGTGGCCTGGGGGGGGGGCAGAACAGAGTCACCAGCTCAGTGAAAGCAGCCCCAGTGTCTCCAGCGGCCACAGGGAACCTCAGGACCTCCTGGCCCAGACCACAGCAAGCTCCCTGACCAGTGGGCCACAAGTCCCATACCTGACGGGCACTGTCTGAGCGGGACCCTCCTCCCAGTGCCCTGTCCTTGCCACTTACCAGCCTCAGCCCTCAAGTGGTCAGGGACGCAGGCCTCGTACCCCTCCTTCTCCGGGACCTCCACAAAGTCATCCTCGTCCTCATCCTCGTCCCCCAGGGCCACCACCTGTGGAAACACCCCCCAAACCCGTGTGTGGGAACAGCAGGCAGAGGCCAGAGGTCCCTGGGCCCTGTGAGGCTGTCCTTCCAGCTGGGTGCCCGCGTGGCCGGGCAGACACTGAGCTGTCTCCAAGCCGCCTTGTTCCCGAACCGCCGGCCCCATGTACCTGCCCTCAGCACCGAGTTCACGCGAACACGAGCCTGCCCAGCCGCCCGCACCCCAACTGGAACAGGAGCCGCTTCAGTCTCACAGAACAGGTCTCCTTGAACAAGGCAGGGTCCCCTGAGGCAGGGTGACAGCCCCTCCTTCCAGGCCTGGCCACAGGCCTCTTCAGCTTAGCTGGGCCGAAGCACCACGCCCTGTCCTTGGGCCACCTCCCAACTCGGGCCTTGGGTGTTGATGTGACCACAGCACTTGTGGAATATTCTGTCCGTAACAATGATGTCCAAAAGCCACTGAAGTCCGACCGGTGTGGCTCAGTGGCTGAGCATTGACCCTGCACCAAGAGGCTGCTGGTTCAATTCCCGGCCAGGGCACATGCCCAGGTTGTGGGCCCGATCCCCAGTGGGGGGCGTGCGGGAGGCGGCCGATCGATGTTCTTTCTCTTCAGTGTTTCTCTCTCTCCCTTTCACTTCCTCTCTCTCTAAAGTCAATAAAGGGAAAAAAAATTTTTAAAAGCCACTGAAGCAAGTTTCCTTGGTGGCGGTCACCTCCCCTGCCTGGGTCAGTGTGGTGAGGTCTCCGATGCACACTGGAGACCTCTGAGCTGCACAGGGAAGGACCCGGACCCGCCTCCGCACTCTTCCTGGGCAGCACCCAGCTCAGTGAGCAACAAGACCCCTTGAGCAGGTCAACAGTTCCCATAAAGAAGGGGAGCTTCCACATGGGGTGACCGATGGCCACGCACACATGCCAACGTGCCAGGGCCACAAACATTGGGAATCAGGCGCCCATGACCAGCCTGCTCAGAAAAGCCTCCTGGACCCCTCAGTCTCCTCCTCCACATCCCCTCACCCCACGGGAGCAACCCCTCGGGGACGGGGCGGCCTCTGCACACCCCGTGGAGCATGGCAGCTCGCCGGCCTGGGCCTGGGACAACGGCATGGCAACCCTGCCCCAGGGAACGGGTGCGACCCCAGAACCACAATGCCCACCTCACGGCCACTGCCACCGCAGCCGCCTGAAGGAAAGGCCTGGGGAGGCCCGTCCAGGAGCACCAGCGACGGAGCCTGGTGAGGCCATGAGAGGCAAACTCAGGAAACATGGCCCCACACAGGTCCTCACCTCTGAAATCACTCCGACAGCAACAGACCACAGGGAGGTGCCACGCGCTGGCCTCACAGCAGCCCAGCTGGGTGGCCAGGCGAGGGCACCCCCACTGCCCGCCCCAGGGCAGACCCGCATATGGTGTACCTGCAGGACCCTCTGGGACCCTGGGCAGCCCCAGAGGCATAATCAGATGCTAATGCACTTTGTTTGGGTTCGGCCTGCAGCCTGCGTCCGGAGGTGCAGAGACATCAATCACTGGAAACTGTGATTTTTGTTATCAGTCTAACACTGATCAAAAGGGAAGCCTGTCTCCTCCGCTGACCTGTGAAACGTCCCAATTATACTCTTTGGAAACGACAGGGGCACTTAACTCCGAGCTGAGCAAATGACGACAATCAATCACGTTTGAATAACAATGAGCTGCGGACCTGAAAATTATTTTTGTATAGAATCTCCCCAGGAATTTATGAAAGGTGGAAAGCAGCCCAAGGTTTTAGGGCATTACAGCTCTCGGCCTGTGCAGTGCGTATCAAACACTAAACAGAATTTATGTGTTTTAATTTTCTAAAAGGTAGATGTGGACCGACCGGGTGCTACAATGCATAACACGGATGCCAGGTTTTAAATATGGGGTCATTTTCATAAAATATTATGCTTATTGCTCCCACCATCGAATTCATCGTGGACTTGTATTAAATTTTCATTTCCTAAAAAGTACTCAGCTGCTTAGCTAACTCTCAAGAATCCCACTTTCTCCCTAAGCGTCCTCAGAGCCCTGAGCCTTTGTTCCTGAGTCAGCCCAGGAGGCCGGGGTGGCACCAAGTCCGAGAACACAGGGCGGGGCTGGGCTGAAAGAACCGCCCTCCTCGAGGTCCCCGCCCCAGGTCCCAGCGGAGCCCTGCGGGCCCTGCCAGGCTCCCGTGCTGCCAGCTGGGGCTGCACCGCAGGCGGCCGGCCACAGCTCTCCCAGCCAACAGCGCCCTCGGTACGAGAGCTCCCACTGTCCAGCGTGAGGTCCCAGGGGAGCCCGATGGGCAGAATGGTGACAGCTGACCTCCCTGGGTGAAGAAACCTCGCTTCTCAGGAAGTCACTGCTGCAGAGACACCTCTGTGACCTCTCCCGGGCCACCCACCAAGCACCTGTTCCCCCCAGCCCAAGTGGCAGTCTTCCCAAGACCTCAGAAACAGCACAGCTGGGACAACTGAGGCCCACACCTGAGCTAGTGGGGGTCAGTAAAAAGGTCCTAGGCCAAAGGTCACAGACAGGGGCAGAAGCCTGCACTGAGCCCGAGGTGGGGAGATGCTGGGGGGGGGGGGGCAGGGGGCAAGGACACCCTAGGACCCTGGGTAGATCACAACCTGAGGAGGCACCAGCTGAAGGCAAGTCCTTCAGAAGGGGTGGGCTCCCACCCTGGCCTTCCCCAGAGGTTTCCCTGGGAGCAGCTTCCGGTCTCGATGAAACCAGAACCGGCCCCGTCTGGGGGACACCAGGTCATGCCAGGCCATGTGCTCACCTCCCGACAGGGGGCGCCTAGGCAGGTGGACAGCGCCATCTGAGCTTTGCGAGGCTCTAGGAGCTGGACAGGCCCCTGCACGAAACCCTCACAGACGTGGCTGCGGCTGGGCTGGTTTCATACAAACCGATTCTCACCCATAGTTAAAAGGATTTAGAAAAATGAGCCTCTGCAATCCTAATTAAACAAGCAATAAAATGGCTAAAATATACAATGCAATCAGTTTACAGAAGTCGGGCAGCGAGGTCACTAATTATTCGAGGAGGGATGGAGAGAACGCCTCGCGTCGGAGCGGCCGGCCCGCCAGCGCGCCCGATACAGCTGGGACATTAAATAAATTCTGTGCGATCTAATTAACTTGCTGCGCAATCGCAATTACTTTTCACCCAGGAAATCACTTTTGTTCAGTTTATGTGTGTTTCCCTTTTAAAAAAAAAATGATGTAAGGCCTCGTCAGACAAGTGAGCTCCCACCTGCATTTGTCTCTCAGAGCTTGATGGCTGTGCATTTAAAACCCCATTCTATCTTATAAACTAAAAATTAAACGTGCTCAGCTGTGATGGCCGTCATCCAGCGGCTATTTATATGCTAATGCCCTCCCAGAAGGCCGTGCAAATTGCCCAGCCAGGCCGCTATCTCATGAACATCTCGGCTGCCAGCACCTTCAGAGGGCAGAGGAGGCCGGCAGGCTGACCGTGGCAGGCACACGGACCCGATAGCCTGCTTGGACCAGCCTGGAGCACAGCCCCTCCCAGGGGCGAACAGAATCTGAGAGGCTGGGAACAGGAGCCACCTCGCCCTAGAAGGGCAGTCCCTTCCCTTCCGGGTCTGACTGAATCGCAGCAGGAGCGCGCTTCACAGAGGCCCTGCTGTGGGAGCGGCTCCAGTGCCCGGTCTGGTTGCTGGGCTGGGAGGCCGCCACCACCGCAGGTCCATCTCCAGGGTGAGGCTGGGGGCCCAGAGCTCCGCTGGGTCTGGGCAGGCAGTGGGCAGACAGGTAAGGGCAGGGCCGTGAATCTGAGCTGGGATGGCAACCCAGGAGACAGGCCGGGGGCCCTAGTCTGTGCTGCAGTCCAGATGGACAGCCCTCTGCAGGCAACCACTCTGGGGCGTGCACCGGAGTCCACAGCCCGTCAGAGTTGTGCACATGTTCTCGCCTGGGCTGCTGCCCTGGTGGAACACGACAGCTCCCTGGCTGACGAGCACCCAGCACGGAGAGGAAGTCACACGCTCCCCTGATGAGGCAGAGCTCCAGCCCTGTGACGCTGTGGCTGGCACCCTCCCTGGGCGGCTCAGCCTTGGGCGGAAGGCAAGGCCCACACGACTGCCCCAATTCAGTCTTCCCACCTGTAAAATGGGGTCATGACATGACCCCCTGGTGGAGCTGCTTTTGGAACTAAGAGGGACCACAGGTGAGGTATCTGGAGCTCAGGACTGCTGGGGAGGTGAGGTGATGCAGGTGTTCACACAGCGGGGAAGTTGGGGGCTGGGGCAGGAGAGGAGATGGGGTGCTCCCTCGCCCTCCAATATCAGCATGCAGACCCCTCCCTTCTCTCAGCCCCTCGACGCAGCGGTTTGGCCTTCAGCATGATGGAGGGGCCACGTCACCAGGAAGGTTGTTTACTGGCCCTGCCGAGTACAAGGTCCCCATGTCGCTGATTTAGTTTCCTGCCTCCCTGGGAGGCTGATGCAGCCAACATTTCATTCCCTGCGTTTCCTGCTCTGTCCTTCTCCCCGACAGGAAGCCAGGTTCACAGGCCTGGCCCAGAGTGGCCGTGGCCTTGCCCCACAGTGGCCAACAATGACGCGCATGTGGAGTCCAGCAGATGATCGGAGGTGTTGCCACTAACACCATGTGGCTGCCATACCAGACAGGTGATGGGTGAGCCAATGGTACAAATATACTGATGCTTAAAATTATTTTTCTGACTTATTGGTTAGTAGGAAATTACTATTTGTTAATTACCCGGAACAAAATAATCGGTGATCTTAGCTACAATTAAACATCATGCAATTTAAAAGTTTCCAAAGGATGTTTATCAGTGTAACGAATGCAGCCGCCGCGGATTATCACCCCTGCCCTGGAACAGCCAGGCTGGCAACTAAATCTCCCCAGTGATGCTTCCTATTGATCTGGGTGAGATTTATCCCGGCCAGCTTCCCAACCAACGCAGGCGAGACACTCTATAAAGCAAACAGTTAAAACTACTTAAACTGGCTTAAACATTTTTTAAAGACAGAACATCCACATCAAAAGAAAAACAATATGGCCCTGGCCGGTTTGACTCAGCGGTTAGAGCATCGGCCTGCAGTCCAGAGAGACCTGGGTTCAGTTCCCGCTAAGGGCATGTACCTCAGTTGCAGTTTGTCCCTGGCCCTGGTTGGGTCGTGCGGGAGGCAGCCACTCAATGTGTCCCTTTCAAGTCGATGTTTCTCTCTCTCTCTCTCCCTTCCACTCTATCTGAACAAAAAATGGAAAAATGTCCTCGGGTGACATAAAAAGAGGAAAACAGTATGTAGAAGCCAGGGCACCAGACAAATGGGAGATCAGAAGGAAAAGGCACCGGCCACCAATGAGGCTGCTGGAGAAAAGTCCCCGTGCAGCACCTGGACCTTCTAGGGACAGGCCCCCGCCCCCTCCAGCGTCTGGGCCTTGGTCACAGGAACCAAGAGCCCCTCTCACACGTTTGTGACGAGTTCTCAAATATCTATGTCACTACTGAACCAGTACCCTGCCCAGCCTGCTCTCTGTGCAACCAGGACCAGGCTCAGTGGGGAGGCACCAGCCAGGGACAACCCCAGGCGCTTCACATGGAAACCAGGCAAGAAGAAGGCGAAACTCACTGCTAATTCCCAGCCTGCTGGCGGCTGCCCGCTGCAGAACAGGAGCAGATGGACAGATACCGCAGCGTCTATTCTGGGAACGGCTCACCTGAGCAGAGCGCTGCCACTCAGCCAGGCCCAATCACTCCATCTACGCCGGGGAATGAGCACCATCTCCCAGGGCTCCGGAGCAGCACTCCTGTCACCTGCCCCCCTGCTCCTTCACTGATAGGCAGAGCCGAGGTGGAGATGTGCCCTCCTGCCTGCTCAGTCAGACCCGTGGCCTCGCATGCATGGCGCCTGCCTCAGTTCACCCTGTCATCCCCGAGTGAGCCCCTCGCCTGGCCAGACCTCCAGCCTTCGGAATAGACAGTAGTGTCTCCTTGACCAATGGCTTCCCACTCCCCAAGCCCACTCCTGCCTCAAGCAGCCTGTGCTGTCCCCGCTGGATGACCAGGCCTGGCAGCTCCATGCCCCCCATCCTACACATCATCCTGCAGATGCCTGGGGCGCAGCACCAAGGGTTCTGCCAGTGAGAGCTCCGGGTCACACATGAGCTGGTTAAGGTGCTGATGGGGGCCCTCCGTAAGGAATTAACGAGCCGCAGACACACAGGCCCACCCTGTGCCCAGCCTGCTGTGAATTTCCCTGGCTGGCCGTTTTTCCAAGGAGAAAGACAAGATCGCCCTCTGCTGGTCCCTAGGGGCTGCACACCCCATAAAATCAAGGACAGAAGGTGGGGCCCAAGGGCTCAAACTCACCCCCGCTCACAAGCCCCCTCCCACCCCAGGGACCCAGGACTCCCATCTCAGCCCCTCCATCTCTGGGGATGGCCTGGGCCAGGCCTCGTTCTCAAGTCCAGGGCCTAGTAAGGAAAGGGAATGCTCCAGAGCCCAGCACTTCTGCCTAGAGGGCTGAACTCAGCCTCCAGGGCGACCCTGGCTGCCCCCACCCCAGCTACCACCACACTCACCTCCCTCCTGCTCAGCCCCTTGGGCTCAATGTCCAGCTCCTGGGATCTCCTCAGAGCAGTTTCCAATTCCGCCTTCAGGTCGATGGCAGCCTCCAAGTGCCTGCCGTGTGCACCTGCGCGGGTGAACAGCTGCCAGCAAGGGGCTCGTCACCTGCAGGCTGGGCCCTCCCCTGCATGTCCCGCCCATCCCTCGGCAACCCCACTCCTCCTGCCCAGTGCTCCCTGGTGCCTCACCTGGACCCAGGTGCACACAGCTGGCAGGAACTTGTTCCTGATGAGCTTGAGCATGTCCCGGGCCGACTGGATGACAGCGCAATTGTCCTCATCCTCCTGTATCCTCAGGTTCTCTGCAAAGGGGTGTAGGGTCACCAGAGGGACCAGGGGCCCTAGACAGGCTACCTGCACTTCTTACCGCCTTCACCCTGCCCCGAGTCACCTGGGACCCCAAACATGACGCCCAAGATTTGCTGCTTCATGATTTCGGCTAAACCATTTCAGCCTGACCCCAGTGCTCCTTCCACATCAGGCCCGAAACCCCTGTGACTCTCGGGGACAGACAAGCTGGGCCCACTTACACTCCTGCCTCCACTACTCTCAAAATACTGGCCCTGTCCTCCCTGTCACTGCCACCCCGGCCTGGCACCCCCACCTCCCGTAAGCAGCCAGCTCCCTGGCCCCCAACCACAGGCAGGCAGTTCCTTGGGGCTTGAAAGGCTCTGGGTGCTGGTGGGGGGCGTCCAGGACTTCCTGCAGCTTCGGGCCAGGCTGATGCCCTCCTGAAAACATACCTGAGGGGCCCCACCCCACCCACACTGATGTCAGGGTGCCTGTGCAGAAGCTGGGCCCGGAGGCCGCGTTCAAGGTGCACCTCGAGACTCGGTCACCAGAGCCATGTGGGGCTGGGAGTGACCCCTTATCTCTGCAAACAGGGAGAGAAGCCTTTTCTCCACCTCATTTTCTCCCAAGCCTTGGCGGCCACCCTTTGACCCCAATGGACTGGGCAGCAGCCCGTGGCCACCGCAGGGGTTCCCAGGGCACCCTGGCCTGCATGGCACAATGAAGGCTGCAAGGCAGGGCTTTGGGACTCACAGCCTAACCCCAACCTGGGGGGGTCCCTGCCAAAAAGTCTGAGCTGTTGGTAGTGTCCCGAGGGCCCGTGGCCAAGGAGACCTTGTTCGGGCAGCAGCCTGGGCTGGCGGCGATGAGGGAGAGCCCTGAGCAGTGGCAGGAGCCGAGTCACCTGAGGACAGCTCCACATCCAGCGTGTACTTGTGGGAGCCCAGCCCATGGTGCCGCACAAACTCCTCCGAGTCGCTGTCGTCTTCCTCCTCATCCTCCGAAGTGGCCCCTGTAGTAACCCGGGGTGGCCCCTCCCCGCCAATGGCTACTGGACGGCGTGCACAGGCAGGCAGGGTCTTGCTGCAGCATGGTTGCTCCTCGTCCCCAAGGTCAGGGATGCTGGCCAGGCAAGGAGCGCCCTCCTCAGATGCACCAGAGGCCACGGCCAGTGAGCCGGCCCCCGGGCTCAGCCCCAAGTCAAAGGGCACCAGCAGTCGGAAGCAGCTGTGCACCTCCGTGAGGCAGCCCCGGATTTCCTCTGACATCTCTGCAAAGACCAAGATGCTGCTTGGTGGTCACGTCACAGGACAGCGCCGCTCGCCCAAGGGCAGGGCCCACTGTCCAAGGGAGACCTGTCCAGCAGCAGGTGGGCTGCCCACAGCCCGCCCCCCCCCCCCCAGCCCAGTGCCTTGGCTGCATGTGTCAGTGGAAGCTTTTAGGTGCTGGAAACAGCTCAGCAGCTGTAGCTGCAAGGCTGCCACGTCTTGGCGACCCCGCAGGTCTCACCTTAGACTGTGACCGCCACTCCTTGGCACATCTGTGAGTTCCTCGGGGATACACTGCCACAGGCAGAACTTGCGGGAGGGGGTGGCCAGCCAAGGGCCATGAGGACACTCGCCTCGTCCCAGCCCTCCAGCCCCAGCGCACCTGCACCCACTCCCGCTGCACCTCTCCCTCCTTGGGCCCTCCCCCGGGGAGGTGCCTGAGGCAAGGCCACCTCCCCTTTCCTCACCCCTGGCTGCCAGAAAGCAAATGCTGGGGCTCGGGGGAAGGGCTGGCAGGAGCGAGTGAGGCCAGGTCACTGCAGGACACACAGCTCACCTCCTGCCAGGACCATGCAGAGAGGGGTCCCTGCCAGCAGGACCACCAAAGGGTGCGACATTCATGGCCCACAGAGAGGTTCCTGGGACAGGGTGTGGGTCCCTACCCAGCTGGTCTGTCCTCCTGGAGACTCACCCTCCATCTCCTGCACGGCCTGCTCAGACCTTTCCCGATAGATTCTGTCTAAACGCCTCTGCTTCTCCTCTTCTCGCTTTCTCTCTGCCAGAGTCCTAGCATTCACATCCTGAAAATCCACCTGAGAAATTGAGACAAAGGTCAGACTCAACTAAACAGAACACAAAGGAAATAAAAGTCAAAACAGGCCACAAAGCAGCAGCACTGGCGCTGGCACACGAACAGCCTCAGCGGGTCCCCAGCTCCATGTGCAAAACACGCAGCCTGCACCGGACTGTGCGCCCAGTCTCTGGGAGAGCACGGCCAGCGGCACCTCCCAACAAAGTGACAGGAGACCCTGGCCAAGCATGCTGGGGATGGGGGCACTTGCTCTGATCAGCAGGGAAGGGTCGCTGCAGGCTGGACCCAGGGGCCTGAGACCACCACCCGAGCATGGACCCCAGACATGCGGCAGGAGAGGTGGCACCCAAAGGCGAGGAGAGCAGGGACAGGTGGGAGAGGGACCCAGGTGAACACAAAGAGTGGGATGGGTCCCAAAGGGCGGGAGATCGTCACAGAGAAGGGCTGTGTCTGAGCAGCTGGATCTCACTGTCCACTCTTCCACCTGCACCCCCTGGGAACCAGGTCCACAGGCTCAGCTCCACCCACTCCTGCGTATGAGCCTCCCAGCCTCCTCCCAAAGCTGCTCCTCCCGTATCTGGAGTCCGATTCCCACCTGCTGGTTACTCTCAGGCCTGTTCAGTCCACATCCCTGGCCCAGCAACCAAAGATCCAGGCAAGTCTATTCACCAAGATGGCACTGCCAAGACCCACCCACCTGTTGGCTGTGTTTCAAGAAGTGGTAGCCCAAGGCGAGCTTCTTATAGGCCATGCCAAACTTCTCATTCCATCCCTGGATGGCCTGGGTGACAGCCTGCCTCAGCTTCTGGGCCACCTCTCTGGGGGGCGGCAGGGGCCGCCGGTGGTCAGTGCCCAGAGTGAGCTCCAAGAACTCCTGGAGGCTGGACACCACCAGCACCCTGAACAGGTGAGAGCGGGCGAAGAGCGCATCCACAACCTGGAAGGCGGAGAGGCGGATCTCGGCGTGCTCCTGGCTCAGCTGGGCCATCAGCAGGTGGTAGGCATGGCTCAGCTGTTCCTCCGATGACCTGGGGATGCCAGCTGTCCTTACCAAGCGCCTGACGCTTGGGGACAGTATTCCCAAGTGGCAGGGACAGGTGCCCTCTCCCAGTCTCATTCTCCCCTCCAAGAGACCAAACCCGGTCCCTTCCTGCTTCTGTAAAACCCAAAAGCCAAGCCCTGGCCAGTGGCTGTTAGTTGGAGCATTGTTCCGTACACCAAAGGGTGTGGGTCTGATGCCCCGTCAGGACACATACAGTGAAACCTGATCGAGGCTGGACATTTTTAGTTGAAATGTAAGTTCTTCATCACTTAATAAGCAATCCTTTAAGTTCTCTCCTGTTTTGTAAACACAAGATAGAGACGATCAGGACACAGCTTATGTTCCCAGAGTCTGAGCAGCTCTCAGCAGATCCCAGCTCACCTGTCCGCAGCAGAAGGGCGGGATGGACACACAGGTCCTGCCGCACCAAGGGGCCACCTGCCCACCTGGGACCTCTCACCTTCCTCCATCGCATGTGCCAACAACTTAAACAGTAGATGTATACTCATCTCTAAACACACTTATGAACTCACAGGACCTACTCCATCACCCACACATGGGAGTGAACAGAGACTCCACCAGTCCTAACAGGTTCTTCCCACACCCCACACCCCACCCTGGGACCAGTGCCCCAGAATACTGCAGGGCCCTGGGGTAACAACCTGGGCGTGTTCCTTTGCGGGTTCTTTCTCAGCACAGGCACCCGTGCAGGGCTCAACTGTGTGCAGGGGAGATACAGGCCTGGCCCCGGGAAAGCCTCAAGTGTCACTGCCTCCCAGGGGTGTCACGGACCTGCTGGGCCGGCCAGTCACCACGAAACACTGAACCTTAAGACATACTTGCAAATTTTCTTCAGCTCCTTCATTTTCTCAGTATTCAGCTGGGGTTCTCCGGAAGTTGTGAGGTCTTCTACCAACTCCGAGAGTCTTTGATCCATGGCTACAGACAGCGAGGCAGAGACGCTCAGGAAGCGGGGCTTCACTAGCTCCCGGTTCTACTATCCGCCAGCCAGCAACCGTGGTCTTCTGGGCTGCAGCGCACGCCGCGGGTGGGTGGGAGGGAGGCGGCGTCCTCGGCCCTGGCCGGTGGGAGGACCTCGTCGAAGCTGAAACGCAACCATTCAAGGCGCCGCTCCCGGCCGGGCCAGCGGGCGCTTTGGGAGGCGATCAGGAAAAGTGCACCGAGAGCGCGTTGGACGGGAGGCGACGACCACGGCGGGAGAAGAGCACAGGTCGGGACGTTTACCGAGCTGTCCCCCGAGAATGCGGCACCGCTTCCCCGGCCAGGGCTCCTCGCTGGAAACCCCGGGCTCGGCCCGGGAGGCGGCTCGGACACACCCAGCGCCCCGCCGCCGACGCGCCCGAGCCCGGACTCGGCCGGCGCCCGGGGAGGAGAGCGGCGTCCCGGGCAAGGAGGGGCGGCGTCCCGGGGAGCAGGGAGGGACGTCGCGGGAGGAGGCGGCGTCTCGGGGACGAGTCCGCCGCGCCGCCCCCAAGGCGGAACTCGCAGCCCCGCCCGGCGATGCGGCCACCACAGCACCTACCGCCTCACCGGGTCGCTCGCCTCGCCCCGCCCCTTCCGGCGAAGGTCCCGCCCCCTGTCACGTGCCCCAGATCGCTACTGTCATTGGCTCGCCCTGGCCCGGGCGGCGCGCGGAGACGGTCAGGAGGCGAGACCGCATCCACCGCTGGACGTAGTCGCTCTCTCCTTAGCCCCGCCCATCCCGGAGAAGGGCCCGCCTCCTATCACGTGCCCCCCGAGCTTGCAGCCAATGGTTCGCCCTGAGTCTGGAGGCAGGGGCGGGGCAGAGGGCTGCGCGGTGACGCAGGCGCGCTCCCGAAAGGCGCGACGTGGGATGGGGCGTCCCGAGAGGCCGACGCGCGAGAAAAGGAGGCGGGAGGGCGCAGCAAGTCCTTAAAGGGGCCGTGGGCGCGGGCGGGGAGCGCGCTGGGTCCCGCCAGGGGGTGCGGGCTCGGCTTGCACGCCGCGGCCACCAGGAGGTTCTCGGTACCCCCGCTCAGCCCTTGCGACGGGCCTGCGGGGCCAGGCCGGGTGGAGGTGGTGCGCGTTCCTCCCGGGGTGCCAGAGCCGCCGTCCCGCGTTGCCCGGAGGATCCGGGATGGGGCTGGGCTGCCCCTGGGAGGGACGGGGACGACCCCCCAGACCTGACACGAGGTTGAAAGGGGCCGTTGGGGGCGGCCTGGGGAGGAGGGTCTGCAGCCCGCCCCTCCCGGGAGGGCGTGAGCACCCCGCCCGGCCACGCTGCGGGCACAGGTCACCTTTGGAGCCCCCCATGCAGGTCAACCACTCCTGGCTCTTTGGCCCAGGCGCCCCTCGCCCATGCCCGACGGCCGCCCACCGCGTCCCGGGAGGCTGAGGGGTGTGGACACCCCTGGGTTTGCGTTGCTCTGGGTGCAGCCTGGGAACTGGATGCCCAAATGATAGCCCAGGCCCAGACCTGTGGTCCAGCTGCATTGGACATGGCACCCACGTGTTCCCCAGGCACCCCAACCTGGACACCACCTGCTCTCTAGGGCTCCAGGCCTGCTGTCCAGAGGGGCTCACTCACCGTCCACAGCCAGGCCCCTAAGGGCCCCCTCGGCACAAGGGGTGTGGCCTCACCTCCAGCCCCTACTCTGCCCTCCCCTCAAGCTGTGTACGGGGCCTCAGCCTTTGCTCACACTGTGTGCCCTGCCTTTGCCCACGGGCCCAGGCCTCACCTGCCTCAGCCGCACCCTCCCGGTTTTGCCTCTGCCTTCCCTCTGGAAGGCCTGCCTGGCCCCAGGTGCTGTGCGCTCTCCGGGATCTTCAGCATGGCACAAGCCCAACCGTGCTGGAGCAGCAGAGTGGGTGTTTCCTAGGACCTGGGGTGACGGCAGAATGGGATAAAAGTGCTGAGGACACAGGCCCACACAAAAGCGTGGACATGCCAGCAGCACTGTTCTGAGTGGCCAAAGGAGGGAATACCCCAACATCCATCAACAGGTGATAAACCAGAAACGTTTCCTTCAGCCTTAACCCAGCACTGTAAATAAGCCAGATAAGAGGCCAGAGATTGTGGCTGCACTTGTATGAAATGTCCAAAAAGACGAAGAAGCAGGCTCGGGCTCCTGGGGGTGGGGGTGGGGGTGTGACTGCTGATGGGCACAGGGTCCTTTGTGGGGGTGACAAATGTGACCTGGTGTTGGAGGTAGCAGCTGTACAACCTAGTTACGATACCAAAATACTGAGTTGTCCTTTTTTTTTTTTTATCCTCACCCGAGGACATTTTTCCATTTTTTGGTTCAGGTAGAGTGGAGGGAGAGAGAGGAACAGAGAGAGAGAGAGAAACATCGACGTGAAGGGACACATCGAGTGGCTGCCGCCCGCACGACCGACCAGGGCCGGGGACAAACTGCAACCGAGGTACATGCCCTTAGCGGGAACCGAACCCGGGTCTCTCAGGACCGCAGGCCGACGCTCTAACCGCTGAGCCAAACCGGCCAGGGCTGAGTTGTCCATTTTGAAAGGCTTTTATGGTGTGTGGGTTACACCTCAGTAGGTGATTATTGAACGGGAGAGCAGGTTCGTGTGTGCATGCAGCCTCCTGGTTCGTGTGTGCCAGCCTGCTGGTGTGCCTGTCCCAGGCCTGCCGTTGCTCCAGTGCAGCTTCGCTCTTCCATCCTGACAGAACTCTTCTATCCATCTTTTCCCCCCAGCCTGTTGCCTCTGGCTCTTTTGCACCAAAATTCCTAGAAAGCTGTTTATTTGCCTGTGTCTCGTGGTCTTTCTCCACTGCACCTGCGTCTGTCCCATTGCCCATGACGTTTGTGTGACTCTGTTTCCTGTGCACACTGCCTGAGCACCTGCCCTCCACCCTCTCTCAGCTGCTGAGCAGACATCCCTCCACTCCCTGGGCCTCTTCCTCTCGCCCCATGTCCAGTCCACTCAGAGACCAGATGGCCCCACTTTCAGAAAGCACTCAGAATATGCGCTCCTCCCACCACCCCACTGCCACCACCAGGTCCCAGCCAACGTCCCCTCAGCAGGACCCCGCTTCTGCTGCCATACCCCCCGTCCATTTGCCCTGCAGCCCCAGAGAGTCCCTTAAAGCTGAAGGTCAGATCAAGTGACCCCTTCACCCTGCACTGGCTCCCACCTTAGCGAAAAAACACTTCCCACTGCATACCGGAAGTTCCTGACCCCTGAAGGAGGTTCTCTGCAATGAACTATAAAATGGATGAGCCTCTAGCTGGACTGATCAAGACAAAAAGAAGCCAAGGCCTGTGTCAGGGTGGCATCACGACGTCACAGGAGGCTCACCGATGGGCTCCAGAACTTCCGGAAACAGAATGCCACGCACCTGCCCGGGTCTCTGGGAATGCAAGGACTAACTATGCAAGCCTTCAAGGTAATTCTCCAACAGAGTAAAGGAGGAAAACATGGTCGGTTCTGGAGGGGAAGAAAAGCACATTTGACAAAACTCGGCATCCATAACTAAGGAAATGAGATGCGAACACCCTCACCCCGATGGAGGACAGCTCTGAAAGCCTGCCAGAATGTCACTCACCGAAGACTGCACGCCACACGGCCTCCGCTGTCACCCTCCACTCGCCAGGGCGTGCTGGGCGCAGCTGCTGTGGTGGGAAGGAAGAGGGCATAGCCAGGAGCAAGGACTCTGGGTAATACATCTGTACAACCAAAATGCTTTAAAACTTACCAAGAAGCTACTATGCATAACAAGTGAGTTTAGTAAGGTCAGAGGACACAAGACGGATATACAAAATCAGTTGTGTGTCTGTACGTTACTGTTTGGGAACAAATTGTAGAAGTGAACATTACATTTGCAGTAGCATTAAAAATCAGGACATTCTCAGGGTTAACAAATATGTGCAAATATGTGTACTGAAAACTAGAAAGTGTAGATGACAACGTTGAAGGGTCTCCCATGGGGAGACATCCCATGGTCACAGATCAGACTCAGTGTCACCAAGATTTTTAAGTCCTTGTTAGGGACTCAATTGTGTTCCCTCCCCCAGGTGACTGTATTTAGAAGAAACTGAGGCCTCATGTGGAATCAGCCACCAGCACCTTGACGACCTTGGACTTCTGGGGAAATATCTTTCTATTGTGATGGTTACCTGACTGAGGCCCCACACTGATCTCTACGTCCAGTGTAATCCCCGTTAAAATCCCAGCAGACTTTTAGGTATATTTTCATTGACTTTTTAGAGAGAGGGGAAGGGGGAGAAACATTGATCCTGCATCCCCCTACTGGGGATCAAGCCAGCAACCTGGGCATGTGCCCTGACTGGGAACTGAACCAGGACCTCTCAGTCCCTGGGGAAACGCTCAACCACTGAGCCACAGCAGCCGGGCAGTCCCAACAGACTTTAAAAAGGCTTTTATAGGCTGATTCTAAAACTTATGTGGAATTGCAAGGGAACTAGAAAAGCCAAAACAACGTTGAAGAAGTAGAAAGTATTACAAGAGGGACTCATACTCCCCCGTGAGACTGACTTTGGCGCTACAGTGGCCGGAGTCCTGGGGTGTCGTTGGGGACAGCCTTACGGTGGTTACATAGAACAGAACACCCAGAAACTGACCAAGGAGGTAGTTGGGGGTTTCGTTTTTTAAACAGAGGCCTTATTATTCAGTAGTGGGGGCAGTGTTCAACAAATGAGAGTGATTTCTCTCCCTCTACGCACACGAGTGAACCTGTGATGGGTCATAGACCTAAACATTAAAACTAAAACATCTGGGCCCTGGCCGGATTGGCTCAGCGGTTAGAGCATCCGACTGCGGTCCAGAGAGACCCAGGTTCGGTTCCCGCTAGGGACATGTACCTCGGTTGCAGTTTGTCCCCGGCCCTGGCTGGTCGTGTGGGTGGCAGCCACTCGATGTGTCCCTTTCATGTCGATGTTTCCCTCTCTCTCTCTCCCTCCCACTCTATCTGTGCAAAAAATGGAAAAATGTCCTCGAGTGAGGATTAAAAAACAAAAACAAAACTAAAACATCTGGGAGATGTAAGATTATCACTGAAACTGTGGGCCAGTATTCCTCAGAACACAAAAAGGCATTAACCATAAAGAAAAACATTGATAAACTTGACTAAAATGAAAACCTCTGCCCATAAATGAACTGTCAGTAAAGTGTAAAGACAGCTTACAACAGATCCGCACCCAGAATATCCGGTGATTCTTATAAATCAAGAAAAAGTAGATACAAAAGGACAGAAGACTTGGGAGAGACCCCTGAGTAACCAATCAGCACCTAGGAAGGAGCTCTGGTGTTCTCAGTGGGTGAGAAACGCAGTCCCCGCCCCCATGTGGCCCAGTGCACCCGCCTGGACACTCACCCACTCAAGTGTGCGGCAGCAGGAACCCTCCCGTGCGGCTGTCACTGGAAACACTCGGCCTTGTGCAGCTAAGCGTACGGCAACGCCACGGCCCCGTCGTTCCGCTTCCCGGTACTGCCGAGAAATGGACACGCCATCCACAAGACGAGCACCAGTGTCCAGCACAGGCAAAGCTTGGAAACACGCTGAATGTCCATCACAGAGACTGGATGAACCACGTGTGGTTCACTGTGGGGCAGTCACTCCTCAGCGACACAGGACCAGACACACAGCACTGACGGACTCAGGACTTGCCGAGCGAAGCGCAGACGCCCAGGAGGGCGGAGTTTGTCTGGCAGTGACTCCAACTGACCCTGGGCAGCTGGGGTGGGGTATGGCTGGTCTGGGGTAGACACATAGTAACGCCTCCTGGGGTCTGGGAATGCTGCAGCCAGGCTTGGAGGTCCACATTTATCAAAACTCATCGACCTGTGTGAGGTCTGTATATTTCAGTGTATGAAGTCTTGACCGAAATTAAATCCCATGAGCTGACGACCAACAGGCTGTGCGAACTGAGCCGCAGGCGGCCTCCCACATGGGCATGGGCCAGCACCTGCTCTAGCCAGCTGTGTCCAGTGTCCCCTGCAGACAGGAAAAGCGCTGTGCCCTGGTCCAGTGGGCACGACCAGCCGTGGAGAGGAGGGGTCCGGCTTCCCTGGCCCCCCGTCAGGAGCTGCACTACCATTGCCCGTGTGAGGTTGGAGAACTGGCTGAGCCATTCGGACAATGACCCATCCCTTCGGGGATGCTGACTGGGAAAGGCCTGGGCCCCTAAAGGCTGGACGATCTGGGTGACGGGGGCCTATTGTTGACTTTGATGAGAAGGGAAGAAGCAAAGAACAGGCTGGAGAGGTGAGACGGGCAATCCTAGAAGCCTGCTCACAGCTGCCCCACCGCCCCAGCCCAACTCAGCAGCCCCAGGGTAGGCAGGGCACACAGGGCAGCCGGTGCGGCTGCCACATGGGCCCGCTGCCAGTGACCATGCTGAGTCCACCTTCGCCCAGTGTCACTGGCTGGTGCAGCCACACTGTTCCCCCGAAGCAGAGCACACTGACAGACCACAGGCTGTGCTCGCTGGGACATGGCCGCAGGCACAGGTCGGGAGCAGAGGACAGCTGGCACCCACACAAAGCCACAGCTGCCAGGACCCAGGGGTGCGGGCCAGAGAAGTGCAGGCCCCGGGGACGAGCAGGCCCCGGGCAGGGCTGGTGGGGGCTATGGAGCCATCTGTGGCTTTAGCAAGAACATGTGAAGGAGCAATGGGGACAGAAGTGAACAGCGCAGATGTGTCGGGGTCGGGCCCCAGGGCACATGATCTCCAGCTGTGTCTGAGCCCCACTTTGGCCACAGCAACAGAAGCCACACAAATTCAGAGGCACTTGCCAAAGGAAGCTGGTAGCTCCTGGGGGCTGATGCAGACAGCGAGGGCCCTTCACAAAAGGAGTCCTACCTGAGCCTCTGTACAGCCCACCCCTGTGCCCCCCCGGTTCCCTGTGTGCCACCTGGGCAGGCCGGATGGTGAGTGACCCAGTGCCCAGTCCCTGCCCGGCAACTTCTCAAGAGAAGCACAGCTCCAATGAGGCTGCACCTGCCATGGGGAAGGGGTGAGGCTGCCGCCCTGCTTCCAAGTCCAGCAGGTGCCTCTAAGCACGGGAAGGACCCTGCTGGTGGCCTGGCACCCGGACAGGTGCACGCTCAGTGGGGGAACCCTCTTCAGGGGCCCCCGAGGACCCAGTGGGACCCCGTCAGCAGGTGCCACCTGGAGGGCCGTGCAGCTGGTGGGGCTCCCCGTGCGCTACTGACCGGGGAAGGGGGGGGGGGGCCAGCAGACAGCCAGTGTCAAAAATGCACAGCAGCTTCCGCCTCACACGAAATGAGAAATAGAAAACCCTTTTATTAACATGGTTTACATTTACAGTTTATTAGCTAAGCAACATCCACATGCAAAAATTAGCACTAAGTAGCACAAACCTCTGCGGACGGCGGTGTCCACTCCACAGCTCACCTGACCCCAAGCCGGACTGCTCATTTCTGTGACCAACAGCGTTTACAGTTGTGACGGACCACCGTGAGGCCTTGCAGACTCGGCCCAGCGGGTCCCACGGGGTGCACAGGCTGTGCAGGCGGGGAGGCTGGAGCCGGTCCGCCCAAGGGATGGCCTGTGGCAGCGGCTCTGCAGAGTCCATGTCCCCGGTGCTTCCGTCGCAGCAGGAGACGGGCATGGTCACCACTGCTCCAGGCCAACACACAGGACACACGGGTCCCAGGGCTCGTCATCAGCAACAGGGAGGAAACTGCCGTTTTCTGGAGTCCCCTGGTGTCCAGTGGCCTCGTGTCTGAAAGGCGGCAGTCCCCCCAGCAGCACTGGCTGGCCGACTGCAGTCCTGCGGCTGAACGTGGTTTTCAAGGACAACTGTTCACTCTTCCTGCCTCTGCTCCTGAGTGTCTGTCGTTGCTCATGGATCTTTGGTCGCAAGAAGCAGAAGCACCGCCGGGCAGGGTGCGGGCACAGCCTACATGATGTACACCTTCTCGGCTTGTGAGAAGTGGAAGACCTCTTTGGTTCTCGGGCAAACAACCTTATCGTCTTGACGAATAGAGAGCAGAGACTGCAAAACAAGACCGGACGCATCAGGACCAACCACACAATGAGCCATCAGGAAAGAAATCACCCTGTTTTACAGTTACTTCCTGAGGGAAGATGCACCTGTTAGGGAAACCCCATGCTCCCCACCCGTGGTTTCCCGGCCCTCACGTTGTAGCCGTAGACGTAGCCGTTGGGCAGCATCATGGGCGGGTTGTTCTCGTTCATCACGTCGCCTGAGATCTTGCAGACCAGGCGGGAGTTGGCACAGTGGGCCATGGGCAGGGGCTGCGCCAGCTTGTTCAGGGAGCGGCTGCACACGGGGCAGTCAGGGCTCTTGGAGCTACCGTCCTCCTTGTAGCACTGTCTGTGCTTCGGGTTAAGGAAGGGTCGTGGGCGGCAGGCTCCCAGGGAGACCAGGTGTGTGGAGACCACTCACTGTCCTGTGCGCCCAGGCAGAAAACAAGCAGAATTCTCTTCCAAGGCTAAGAAAACACTATGTTCAGCAGGAAAACAGCCTGAGGCCTGAGTGAAACCAGAGGTCAGAGCCCCCGGCCAGGCCCTTCCCACCACAGGAGAGCAGGGCCCCGCACGCTCACCCACCCTGCACGGCCCTCACCACAGCTGGACATCAGGAGGGCAGCAAGCCGCGAACCAGCTCTCCCTCGAGTGCTCCACCCGGGCAGGGCCTGCCCAACGTGCCAGCCCCAGATGGCAAGCAAGAGGCCAACAGCCCTGATGGGGCCCTGGAGGGGACCATGTGGTACCCTCAAGAGGGACCCACAGACACTGGGTCATTGTTCGCTCTCTGGCCACGGGGAGGCTGCTGCTCTGTGGAGACATGACCACCAGTGGGACAGCAAGGGCCCAACCAGCAGGCTCTGCAGGACTCTTGGGATCCACAGGAAAACTATTCCAAGTGGTTCAAGTCCCAGCTGCCAGAGGACACACAAATGTCTGCTCTCCGCGGACCCGCCGTGTGCTGGCAGCACTGGGGCAGGGTCTACGACCAGCAGCGCCACCCAGGGGCCAGCACGGGGACCGCACAGTGTGACAAGGGCCAAGCGAGGCCCAGTCTGCAGGCGAGCGGGAAGGATACGGGGTCTTTATGGCCGAGAGGCCGGCCTGCAGGGTGAGGGTGAACACGGAGCTGTTCCCCAGCTGGTGCAGCCGGTAGTTGTCGTAGCGGAACTGCTGGATCAGCATCCTCCACCGGGCTGGGTCCAGCAGGTCCTGGAAGAGAAGGCAGAGGCTGGGACAAGACATCGGCCACACAGATCAGGGCCACAGGACAAGCCCCTTCCAGCCCACTGGTGCTTGCGGGTGGGGTCCTGTGACTTCGTGACCAGGGCAGGACTCTACGAGCCAGGACAGCCGGGCTGAGCGAGTCTGGAGCCTCCTGCTGGGAGCACCAAGGTCTGAGTGGAAAGGCCTCATTCGAGAAAATAAAGGCTGAATCTGGTCAACGCCTGTCCTCAAAACCACCACATTACACTCAAAGCCGTGTGCGGGGGACACACAGACGCCAAAGCACACTCTGACATCAGCCCAGGGAGGAGGGCACGACCAGCCACCCTGCCTGAGCCCCTCAGAGTCAATGGCAAGTCACACGTCACAGTGACAAGCCATGCTCTAATGTCCTTCTCTGAGCACGCAGGGTCAAGCCCCCAATCGGGCGGCTCTGGAAAGGACAGCTCTGCCCAACCCTCTGCTTCAGGCCCCGTCCCCCTCATGTAGTCCACTCACACCACCAGGACCTCCCCCCAGGGGACAGGCAGCTGCCACACTCCCCTGCTCAGGTCCTCGCTCATCCTCCCAGGCCCGTCCCCCTCTCAGGACACACTTCAGTCTCAGCTCTGTTTCCTCTGAGCGAGGTTCTCCGTGAGCTCGTGGGCTGTGCCTGACCCTGGAGTCTGGCAAGGGGGAGGCACGGCTGCCTGCTGGGAGCCCAGGAGAGCTCACTCCAGGAGGCTCGCACTGGCAGCCAGTGCTGGACACTGGAGGCAGCCACTCCCTGGGAAGTGCCTGGCCGGGCCCCTCAGGGAGGAGGCCCAGGCAGCACACTGCCCTCACCTGGGCCTCTCACTCCCGAGGTCGAGGTGGCCAGTCAGGTTTGTCATGAGCCTTCTCCAGAGAAGGGAAGATGCCAGTTAGGACCTGAACTGAGACTCACCACTGAAGAGCATCGTGACCTCGTGACTGTGACCAGAGCTGTATGAGCTGGGGGGGGGGGGCGGGGTTCCAGATGCTGGGCAGAAGGCCTGCAGCCAAGCACTGCAGGGTGGGGGTGGGTCCCACCAAGGGCTGCACAGCACCCCGGGTGTGGCCCAGCCCTGGGATGGGTGGGGCTGCAGGGGAGCTCAGGACAGAGCAGCCTCAAGGCTTAGACAGCAAGGCTGGTTCAGTCGACGAGGAGGGAATTTCACTTCAGTCCTCCGGCATGGGCACCAGTGACAGAAGTGCCGCGGTCACGTGTCCCCGTAGAACCCATGCAATGAACCCTAACCTCAAGCTGTGGTGGCAGCAGCTGGGCCTTTGGGAAGAACTCAGGCCATGAGGCTGGAGCCCCAGACCAGATCAGAGCTCCCTGGTCCCTCCCTGACGTGCGGCACCCACTGCATACTTCCAGCCTCCGGGACGTAAGGGACATGTTTCTGCTCCGTGACCAGCCACATGTGCTGGTCATGTGCAGGCGTGGGTGCTGCTGCACAAATGCACACACGTGGCGGGGCGGACTTGAGGGAAGGATATTGGTCCTCAGATGGCGGTGCAGACGTGGACGGACGGCGTCAGAATGAGGGCCTGTCACTGGAGACTGGAGGGACAGCGGCCCGTGACAGGCAGAGCCGGCCGCACTGCGCCAGAGGACGCCTAGAGGAAGCAGCTTCTGCGCTGAAGGTGCAGCTGCTTCTCAAGTGTTTACGGTCAAGTGTGAGGTGAGAAATGCCCGAAGGTCGGACTGTTCACAGACAGGAAGCAGTTTCAGGGTCTGGGAAAGAACTCAGAGGGTGCAGCCCGCAACCCCAGGAGGACACCAGCCTGTGACCAGGACTCTGCTGACCCGCCCGGCAGGAGAGCCAAGGGTAGGAGACGAGCAGGAAGAAATGAAGGGTGTCAACTTGGGTGTTGGGATGGGATGTGTCTCAGGACAAGTGGAGAAAGATCCCAGAGGCAATTCAGAGACCAGTGGGGCTGCCCTCAGCTTCATGGAAGACGACGCCCACAGGGAGGGCCTGAGCACACCTGTGCCAAGACACCCAGATGCAGGGCAGGTTTCGCAGAGATAGCCACTGTTTGGGAGACACTGGCACCAGGGGCTGGGGGTACTGTGCTCGCCAGGCCCAAACACAGAGAAACCTTCTGGTCCACTCTCAGCAATGAAGTGGAACAAAACAGGAGCAGGCCCACTGGGCCCGTGCTCAGCATGCAGGTGACGCTCGGCCCCACGGCCTACAGGCCCGGTTACCTTGTAGGGAGAAATGTGCGTGTCTGGCGGGAAGGCCAGCATGCCCATGACCTGGCGGACCTCGTCCAGCTGGCTGCCTTCGGCCTGACTGAAGTGTTTCCTTGCATGTCTAAAAGACAACAGTTTGGTTCTAAGTTTGTATTTTCACCTTTAAGAATCTGAAGTCAATCTCCACTCAGTGACCTAGGCCTGGGTCTGCCGGGAGCTCACCAGGGCCCGACCCGGGGACACTCAGAGTGGCTTTATTCCAGCACCCCAGGGGCAGGGGCAGGGGCAGCATGAGATGCACTGACTCAGAATCCCACAGAAAGACCCAGAGAGTGTGACCCAGATATGCAGGACCCTGCCCAAGCCCTTCCCATGACCCTGGTTTACCCAGATCCAACCCCAAGGGCACACAGTGCACCAGACCCCGGGGGACAAGACAGCCTTACCCTCCTGGTCTGCAGCGACTGCCCACCCTGACCCCAGAGACCCCAGGCATGCAACTAGGAGCCACTGGGCTCGGGGACACTGCTCCTGCACCCGCACACCCACTTCCTTCCCAAAGGGCCCCTGTCCTCAGGGGAAACCTGCCCTCATAGATGCCTCCATCCACCCTCCACGCTTGGAGGGCCCCAGTCTGGGCCAGCACTGCCGAGTGGTGGCTGGATGGGGCAGTGGGACCGAGTCAGCACCGTGGGTCAGAAATGACGAGCACACCAGAAAGAAACCGAGCCTGGTGACCATGAGGCTGCCACCTGCAGGGAGACCCCCACCCACTCCAGTCCCAGTGCTCGTCTTGGCTCTGAGGGCCAAGTCGGGGGGGCACCTGAGCAGAGCTGCAGCTGGACACCCGCACTCCAGGGGCTGCCTCTGCCCTGTGGATGGACAGGTGGGAGCCAGATGCACCCCCTTCCTCAGGCTCTCGTTGGGGACACCATGCACCCAAGGAGGCTAAGAGGAGCAACGGCAGCGCCCTGCCTGGACCCACAGGCCTGCCTCGAGGACGCCCAGGGAGCCCTGCCAGAGCTCCGCATGCCCCCCCCCGCCCCGCAATGGCCATGACGTGACCCCAGCCTAACGACAGTGGAGCAGGCAGACGACCAGGCACATCAGTTGCTCCTGAGCTAAGGAGCTAACAGCACTTTCCCAAGTGAAGAGACAGGGCCACAGCCTTCTGCCCCCCCACCCCCGCACACACAGGTGACAGGCAGGCTGCTGCTGGGAAGGGGAAGGGCCCGCCCATCAGGAAGGCCTATGCCACCTTCCCCAGCATCTGGAGGGCGGAGGGCGGAGGGCGGAGGGCGGGGCCCGCCCTCCGCCCTCCGCCCTCCGCCCTCCGCCCTCCGCCCTCCGCCCTCCGCCCTCCGCCCTCCGCCCTCCGCCCTCCGCCCTCCACAGAGAACTATGTGCCCATCTCGCTGCGTACCTCACGGCATCCAGTCTCTTGTTCTGCCGGATGAGTTCAATGAACTCCTGAATCCTTAGGCTGAACTCCAGGCAGCTCTGAGGGTGAAGACGAGACAAAGGCTTAAAGGGCGGCACTGCAGAGCCGCACAGCCCAGCCGACCCCACAGACCAGCCTGATACCGTGCACACAGCACTCTGGACAGGTCTGACGCCCCACCCAAACTGCAGGCCGAAGCCCACTTGCTGCTGGGTCTGCGGGTCACAGGCCCAGCCTCTCCTGGCTAAGTGTGGCAGGAGCAGCATTGCCACTGTGGGGCCAGGCCCTGGAAGATGGCTGGGCGGGCCTGAGAGGCATGACCCAGGGGGAGAAACAGCCAGGGTGCAAGGCCGCAGGGGCCGCCAGCAGTTTGGAGTGAGGGACACGGCCCGAGTGAGCACATGGCTGCGGGGGAGCCTCTCTGCACTGGAACCTTCTCCTACTGAGCCCTTCCTAGGCCACCAGCCTCAGAGTCACAGAATCAAAGTCACTTCCACCCTGACCTGCCGGTCAGACCAGAGCTGCTGGGGGGAAGCAGGCCATTCCCTGTGCCAAGGCCCCAACACCTGGCAGGTGGCATCTTACACAAACAGGGCTGTGAGCAGGAGCAGAGACCAGTGGATGGGGGCCACACAGACACCTGGGGAGGATGGTCTAAGCAGAGGGAACAGCCAGTTCATAGGCCCAGGGGTGAGCGACTGGCCAGGACCAGGCAGAGCCGACAGGTGGTGAGAGCGGGTCAGGAGCCCCAGGACTGGCCGGCGTCCACTGCGTGTCTGATAGGCGCCAGCCCAAAAGCTTGTACATGAGATTTGAGGGCACTAACACACCAACACCAACTTTGACATCTTAGCAATATGAGGCAATCTGGGCTAAAACGCTGGGGCTGGGGCTGGGGCTGGGGCTGGAGGGTAAGCAGGCAAAGGTAACTCCTGTAACCTACGACAAAAAGATGAGTTGCTTTACAAAAGGAGTAATTTAAACTAATATCTTCCACGTGGTTTCAGGTAACGCTCAGTATTTCCAACCAGAAATAAGATTGTGTGGATTACAGAATGAGAGACAATCTTAGGGTTCTTCCCTCTTCCTTTGAGTTCCATGACACCCAGATTCCAGGTGGCATGACTGGAGACTGCCCACAGCAAGTCAGGTCAGTCAACCCCAGACGTCCCAAACTCAACGTTGGCCCATCGCATCGCTTCCACCCGGACCTCCGGGCTGCGTGCAGCTCCCCGGCTCAGCAGCGACTCCTCAGGCCCCATCCCTGTGCCACGGACAAGCGTGGAGCGCCAGGACGTGCCGCCCAGACTCAGGGGCCAGCCAGGCAAGGGCAGAGAGACCCGTACCTGGTGCCCCACATGTGCACAGATGCTCACAGCAAATCGGGTTCCCCTGTGCCCCCCATCTCCTCACTGGGCAACCTTTCCCATGCCTGACTCATGACTGGGCGGGGCAGGTGTGGCCATGCAGACCACCTGTGGGGAGAGGCCTGCCTCCTGGGCCTCAGCAGCCGGAGCCCCCGGGAGGGCACTGCGCAGTGGAGCTGCAGGTGCTCTCGGGCACAGCCCCGCAGGGACAGGTGCGATTGCTCAGGATTGCTCCTGGCCCTGAGGCTCACTTTCAAATCCAGCAGGTCCTGAGTCACACCTTTTCATGACGACGTCAGTGAGCAGCCACAGGACTTCCCAGGGTGCCTCCGACCTGGTGTGTCAGGGCCCAGACACGCGCACCAGGGTGGACTGCAGGCACCCGTGGGCGACTTCACGGGGAGGCACAGCAGCTAGGTGGCGATGCGCCGAGCGCTGACCACGCCTTGCACTGTCTGCGACCTCCACTGACACACAGCGCGTCACAGGTCGCTGTGCACACGTCTCCAGTGTGGAGACCCCAGCCCCCACTAGGTACTGCCTCAGCACAGCACCTACTTCAGAAGTCCCTTCTCACTATGTGAGACTCGCACCTAAAGCTGCTCCTCCTCTAGTCTCCTGAGCATCTGCGGATCCCGCGGGCCCTGGTGTGGCCCCCCCAGGCTGCATGTGCCACCGAGTGTGTGACCACACGTGCACACACGCGCACACACACTGGAGTGGTTGGGTACCCTAATTGGTTCAGTCGACATTTTATGAGCATGTTGCTACGTCATTAGGGCGTCTTCCAAGCACACTTTTAGGTGACTATGGTCTTTCAAGTTCAACGGCCATCGGTGGGTTCAGCCTCACCCGCTTGCCCACAGTGGCCGCGAGGCCCCGTCTGAGAGCGCCCAGGGGGCGCGCCCTCGCCAAGCAGCCGTGGGTCTGGGAGGGAACGGGCTTGCAGACAGCTGTCAAGCAGGGAAGCCCATTTCCTTCAGACCCAGTCCCGCTCTGCGAGCAGCACGGCTGTGGGGGCTGGGGCAGGGGGCAGGGCGGGTGTTACGTACCAATTCTGGCTTTCCTTTTATGGTTTCCATACCAAGATCCTCACTTTCTTTAGGGGAGCCACTGGCCACTCTACTTTTCCGTCCCGGCTTCGCGTCATGCTCGTTTTGGCGGCCCTGAGTGGCAGAGAGTGTCACCCTTGGCTGGTCACTATGCGCACACGACAAACTCAACCAGGGAGGGGTTAAAGACGCTCAGTTTAGAAAACAGAAAACATAAGTTTTCTAACGGAGGTGGGAGGGTTAACACGTTAAACACCTCTGCAAGCCCATGGAGAAAACACCTTTCCGTAAGCATACTTAAACTACGTTCAGGTGTCTGTTTTTGAAGCTGCTTATGGGTATCAAAAAATAAATAAAAAATGCTGTGTTCAAAGAGTTCCCCGGCCTGGAACTCCGCACCCTTGCCGGTGGACAATGGCTCCCCGCAGGGCTTCCCCCATCCTGTGAGGATGCAGGCGGGCAGGACGGGCCAGCTCCAACCCAGCAGCGGCTATCACGCTGCTCCCTCAGAAGCTCATGTTAGAACATTGGTCCATATCCTAACTCGGAAGGGGGTGCACCACCCGAAATACCCCAAACCCACACCAAACCCAGCAACCCCAGCAGATGACCAGAACCGAAGAGCTCTCAACCAGCAGGCGCGGGTGGCACAGCCTCAGCCCCGCCCCTCCCGAAGCCCCGCCCTCCGGGACCCGCGTGCACCTTCATCTTGCGCAGCCGGGACTTGTTGTCGTGGCACCAGGCCAGGCAGGTGGCTGTCTCGCGCCTCTCCAGAGACTCCTCCACTTCCTTGGCCGTCAGAAACATCTCGATGTTCACTAAGTCCTGGGGGGGAGGAAGCGGTGCACGCTCAGAGCACTGGACCCCACACCCTTGGACCCCCAGCCCACCAGACACCCTCGGAATCCTCCCAAGCCCTGCAGCCGCCCTCCGGCCTGCGCGCTCGCGCACGCGCTCCCTACCCGGACAGCCCGCGGTGCGCAGGGTCTGCACAGGCCAGGCCGAGCTCCAGCAGAACCTCGCAGCGCAGGGAGCTGAGGTCTGCCCCCTTCTACCCTCCGCAGAAGACCTGGAAAGCCCAGCAACCCAGCCCCTCATTTTCTGTTTCTTTTATTCCTCTGAGGATTTATTTAACCTTTAGGTTTCTGAAAAGGGGTAGCCAGAGTGGGTGGGGCCGCGGCTGCTGAGCCCTGCGGGAGGCAGCAGGGCAAGGCCCCGGCAGGGCAAGGTCCCGGCGAGAGGCCGGCACAGCTGGCCCGGAGAAGGCCCCGGCACGGGTCAGAGGACCTGTGCGCAGACGCTCCCAGAGGGAGCCGCGGGGAGGAAAGGAAACCGCAGCAGGTCGGTCTCCTGCGCCCGGGATGGACGCGGGGGTCGCGGGGGACACGGGGGACGCCCGACACGGCAGGCTCCTGCGCTGCGGGGAACCGGGGGCTCCGAGCGCCTGCCCGCACCCTGCTCGGGCACGAGCTCAGCACCCAGGGGACCCGAAGCCCCCTCGACCCCAGGCGGGAGCCCCACGTGTGGGTGGGCTTCAAGCTTCAGAAGGGGCCAGGTGGGAGCAATGTGTCGCTGCGGAGAGACGGGAGCCCCCGCGCTGGGCTGAGGGTCCCTGCAGGGAGAGCAGCAGCCACGGCGGCCCACCCAGGACGTGCCCACCAGACGCCGCTCCGCGCAGAGGTCAGACTGCGGTCATTTTAGTTCCTGTGGGCCATGGGCATCCCTGACTCTAGACCGGGATGGTGGGGCGCAGGGCTCCCCCCCCCCCCCCGGAGGCAAGAGCAGCTTGTTGCTGTGCCTGTTCCTCCCTGAAACGGGCCAATGGAGACCCTGCCCTAGGAAACGGCCCCAGTGAAACCAGGGAGCACGGGGCAGGCGGGCATCGTGAGAGCCCTGAACCTCCTCGTCAGAACCGGCCCGCGTCAGACAGCCGGGCGGCGGGGTGCGCAGGGCTGGGCCTGCCGGGACGCGCCCGCACCTCGATGCCGCTCTGCCGCGCCAGCTTCACCGCCGTGTTGTAGTAGCCGCAGCGCAGCAGGTGCTCCACCATCATGCGGTCCATGCGCTTCCGCTTCCACAGGCTGGCGGCCGCCGGCTGGTCGCTGCTGTGCTCCTTGAGGTGCTCGATCCTGCGCTTGCACAGCTTGGCGCTCTCGTCCTCGGCCTGGATGGACTCCACCGCCTGCCGCGCGGCACAGAGGCGCTCAGGCCAGGGCCAGGCCGCCGCCCGCCCACCCGATGCTCCCCAAGGCCGCCGCCCTGCGGCCGGCCCCCTGCCCTCGGCGCTGCTGGCTCAGGTGTTCCGCAGCTCTGGCGCCACAGACAAGCACTTTTAACGTTGCTATGAACTGGCCTCTGTCTTTTACGACGAGTCAGTTTTGTTCAGAACTGACACAGCGGTTCCGCAGGGCCCTGCACGGGCGCTTTCTGCAGCGTGGCCAGTGCAGGCCCAGGTTTCTGCCGGCTCGCCCTCCCCCACACACCGCTGCTTCTGGCTTCCAGCTGCTGCCACAAAGCCAGCTGGCTGTCAGGGTGTTTGCTGCTTCCCTAGAAGTGGCCTTTTTCTTTCACTGATTTTAAGGTTTGTCCTTGCATTTCACTGTTTAGGGTATGAACTAGCCCTGCTCCCTGCCCCTCTGCCCACCCGCCTGGGATCTAGCAAACAGGAAACACCACACCCGTCTCTGCTTACACAGCTCCACCCTCTTCTAGACCCCCACTCCCCCACCGTTGCATCCCCGTGCTGCATTCCGGGGGCTTTCTCAGGCCTACCTCCCAGCTCATTCATTCCAAACTGCAGGTTTGATGCATCAGTGTTAAAATGTCTACTATAAGCAAACATTTGAGCTTTTCATTTCGGTTGCTGTGTGTTCCATTTCTTGAAGCTTTATTTGGTTTTTTAAACTGTCACTTTTTATATTTTGTTTTCTGCAAATACTTTCAAGCTGTTATTTATTCCTTAAACACAGTAAACTATGGTCTCTGACAACATCTGTATCTGAAGTCTGTGCAGACCTCGTTGCATTGTTTTCCTGTGTCTAGTCAGTGTCCTGTGCACCTGATTACAGTACACAGATGATGGGCCCCACACCACAGGACTGCACTGCCTACCTGGCGCCAGGAGGATCCCTTGCCGGGATCACTCTGCCAGGTTGAAGGGCTGCAATGCTTTGTTGGGGGTGTCCACTCCTGAGCACCCTCACCCGAGGTGCAGTGCTGCAGAGTCCCAGCATCGTGCCCTGGTTACTGGCATGCCAGGCCCTGGAGGGGCTCCCGTGTCTGAGCAGTGGCCGGCCCACCCTCAACTCCCCTGCTCCTCTCTGCCCTCTGCCCTCCTGGTGATTCCTTCTTCTTGGGGGTTCTTTGACACATTCAGTTAGGCATTTTAAACTACCACAATTTTGCCCTGGCCGGTTTGGCTCAGCGGTTGGAGCGTCGGCCTGCGGTACAGAGAGACCCGGGTTCAGTTCCCGCTGAGGGCATGTACCTCGGTTGCAGTTTGTCCCCGGCCCTGGTTGGTCGTGCGAGTGGCAGCCACTCGATGTGTCCCTTCACATCGATGTTTCTCTCTCTCTCTTCCTCTCTCTCCCTCCCGCTCTATCTGAACAAAAAATGGAAAAAAAAATGTCCTCGGGTGAGGATAAAAAAATAAATAAATAAATAAAAATAAACTACCACAATTTTGGGTTCTTCTCAGTGGGCACCTTAGTGCAAATGCCCTATCTACCATTCCCAGAAACAAAACCCGACATGCTGTTTTGAGGTGAAATTCTAAATATATCAACCTGCTACCCATCCTGGCCTGCGGCATGTGGGTTTGGGACACTCTGGAGCCAGGACAGCCAGCCCACAGGCAGAGAAACGGGACTGGAGGCTCCAGCATGCAGGCAGTGCGAGGGGGCGCCTGGCGGCACAGCCCCTCAGGAGAGCGCAGCCCCAGCCCCGTCCCAGCCCCACAGGAGATGCCCTTCTTAGGACAACCTGGGTGGGCAGGCCCAGGACCAGCACAGACCTTCCTCTTGAGGACACTAAGCTTCTCCACCACTCCATCCAGAAGGCTGACCACAGAGTCCACGGCAGGGCAGCTGCTCAGGGTCTTCTCCAGCTCGGCTACCACCATGGTGACGTGGCTTGTCTCGCGGTCGATGTTTTTCTGGGCAGCTCGAAAACGCTTGTTCAGTGTTTCGTAGGGCACCTGCAGGAGAGGCGTGCTGAGACCCCCAGCTCCACAGGGACATGCAGCCCCTTCACGGCACTTCCCGAAGGTCCTGGTTCTCTAGAACTGTCCCCTCTAAAACCTGAGACCTGCAGAGGCAGCATGAGTTCCTGGACAAAGAGACCAACAGAGAAATGCACACTGCCCTGCCCCACAGGCCAAAAGGTTGTGGGTTTGATCCCCAGTTGCGGTGTGTACAGGAGGCAACCGAATAACATTTGTTTCTCTCTCAAATCAATAAAACATATACACGGATGAGGATAAAAAATTAGGAGAGGAAAAAAAAAAGCAAACCGTCCCCAAACCTAGAGCAGAAAAAATACGGGAGATGCCAAGGCCAGCTTCACAGCCTGGACATGAACGTCCACTTTCAACTTTTATCCAAACAGGACGCAGGCCATGCTATAATTTCACCTTCAGGCTATCATCGGTATCCAGTCCTAACGATTTATACTACAAGGTTATACATAATCTAACTTTTTTTTTATCCTCACCTGAGGGCATTTTTGCATTTATCTTCAGACAGAGCGGGAGGGAGGGAGAGAGAGAGGGAGGGAGGAAGAGAGAGAGAAAAAAACATCGATGTGAAAGGGGCACCTCGACTGGTTGCCACCCACAGGACCCCAACCGGGGCCGGGGAAAAACTGCAACCAAGGTACGTGCCCTTAGCGGAAACCGAACCCAGGACTCTCTGGCCTGCAGGCTGACACTCTAACCGCTGAGCCAAACTGGCCAGGGCCAGATTTAACTTTTTTATCCTTTTTTTTAAATTAATTTATTTTTGTTACAGCTGTTTCTCCTTTTCCCCCATTGACACCCTCCTCCCGATCCTGCCCCTCCTCAAATAACTTTCTTATCATTTGATGAAAGAAAACAAACTCAGAACCTGGTGCCCCCTGGGATGCGGGTGGCCGTGAGGGCAGTGTCCACAGGCAGACATTGGGCTGACCCAACCTGGGGCGTCACAGCACCAGCCACGCTCCTACAGCTGCAACACTCCGTCACCTCAGCACCCTCCTCTGGGTCAAGCCAGCCCTAACCCTCCACTACACTCACCTCCAAGTGGCCCTGACCCATACTTCCTGCCCCCGCCCTCCCAGGCAAGGACTCACCTTGCACTTGGCCCTCAGGGCCCGCACCCTCTGCTGGCTCCCCTAGGCTGAGCTTTCCGGCCTCGCCTTCTGCCACCCCTCCCTCCCCACCAGTCTGGCCTGAGCCCAGGACCTTGGGTGTGACTAAGGTCAGGGTGTGGCCAGCCCTGCCCCAGCAGCAGCTCCCAGAGGTCTCTGCTCTGTGCTCCCCACGCTCAGTGCCCAGCCACGTGGCAGCCTCTCTGGCCGGCCTCTCCTGCCCTTCCCAAACCACCCTGCTATTTGGTCACCAACAGCTCCTTCCCAGGCTCCTCCTCCACAAAGGGCTTTGGCCAAATGAAGGAATGGAATTCCAGAAATGCTGAAGATTCTAAACCACACAGAACTATCACTGGGGAAGGAGAGAAAAGAAGGGTAGTCTCAGATGCTCAGGGACCCACGTTCAGTACCCACAACCTCCTGGGATGAAAATGACTCAGAGAAAGGCCTCAGCTAGAAAAACATATAAAGTCAGCGAGGCAAGATATCAGGAGACACAACAGACAGCAGTGGAGAAGAAACCAGTGAAAGGTGTGGTCCGACTAAGAAATGTAGTTAGCCAAAAGGGAAAAGATGCCTAAGTAAATGCAGACAACGTGACTAGAAATGTAACAGGCTTTGGAAGAATTCAAAATAAAAGCAAATAAAAACACATCCCTAAAAGCACAGGCAGCAAAATCAAGAGACCAACGGACCATCAACTGAGACCCCAGCATCGACAGACCCACCGACCGAGGGGGAGCGGCCCGACAGAGGAGCATGTCAAGCCCACACCCGAGGGCCCCTGCCCAGCAGACAGGAAGAGCTCCTCCAGCTCAGCAGGTCTCCAGACAGCCTGACCAGAAACGGGCACGGGCCTCCCGCAGACACCTCTCCATTCCAAGGGCAGCACACAAGCGGCGGGTGCTCAGCGTCACTGCTCAGGGAGAGGCATCAAAAACAAACGCAGTTCACACCCACTAGGACAGCCCCTCCAAAACCAGAACCCAGTGCTGGTGGGACGTGGGGACATTGGGACCCTGTGCACTGCGGCGGCATGTAAGTGGTGCGGCCGCTGTGGAAACAGTAGTACGATCCAGCAATCCCACTTTGGGTGCTAGAACACTGACCCAGAGAGGGAGGAGCAGGGGCACCAACCACAGCGCAGTCGAAACTCTGGATATACTTAAGCCTGCCCTCTACATAATGGATTCCCGGCCTCAAAGCAATGACCCTGTTGTCACTGCTGGTTGGTCAGACTGTGGACATGACCCCCAGGGATCCAAAGGGCCTGCTGCTACTTACTGGAAAATCCATGGTACGTGCACTGTGAGCTCAAACCCGTGTGCAAGGGCCACTGGACTGCAAGCCGCAAGGACTGAGAACAGCCTCAGAGCAGCCGTGGCGTCACCCACAAGGGGTGAGACAGGGAAAGGGAAGCACCCAAGTGTCGCGCTATGGAGAAGGGTACATGTGGTCTGCACACAGGATGTCCTTCAGCCTTGCCGCGAAGGACACCCTTCCACAGGCTGCAACCCAATGAACCTGGAAGACCTGATGCTGATGAGATGAGCCCGAGACAACCCTGTGTGAGCCCACTTCCAGGAGGGCCTTGAGCAGTCACTTCTAGACATAAAGGAGGTGGTGAGTGTGGGGACTGGTGGAGGGATGGGGAGCTGTTGTTCAATGGTGCCATGGACCACTGTGCCCCCCATAACTCAGGTTAAAATCCTAGGCCCAATGTGAGGGGGCCTCTGGGAGGTAATTAAGCCACGAGGGTGCAGCCTCATGAATGGGATCAGTGCCCTTAACAGGGACCCAAGGGCTCTCGTGGGCCACCCACAGTTGGAAGAGGCCTCACCAGACCGACCATGCTGCACCCTGACCTGGGACTCCCAGCCTCCGAACCGTGACGTGTCTCTGGTACTTTGGGACAGCAGCTGAGCTGCCTGGCGCCGCTGTTTTGGCTGTTCTGGGTCCCTGGCACTGTCCTAAGAACTTCAGGATTGGCTTGTCAGTGTCTGCAGCAGAGCCAGCTACGATGCTCTCATGAACAGTGCTGAATGTGTAGATCCCTTCGGAAGTACTGCCGTCACAAAGTGAGTCTTACTTCTGAATATCCTAGTATTCTTGATGCTATTACACATCAATTTTCCTTGATTCCCTTTTCTCATTTCTAAGATATGCAGCACCTTAGAAACGCATTTTGAATCCTGCTCATTGGTTCTAGCCAGGGGGTGGAGGTTGTGTGTGTGTGTGTGTGTGTGTGTGTGTGTATTCCTTAGAACTGTACCCATACAAGAGCATTTAATCTGCAAATAGTTTTGCCTGTTCTTTTCTAACCTGAATGCCTCATTTCTTCTACCTGCCTAACTGTCCTGACTAGACCTTCAGGACAACAATGAACAGCAGTGGAGAGAGGAGACACCCCTGTGTTGTGCCTCATCTCAGGGAGAAGCATGGTATCTACCCTTTACCATATTGAGAAGTTCTCAACACGGTTGTTGAGTGTTTCCATCATGTAAAGGTGTTGAATTCTATCGAGTGCTTTTGCCTGTGTCAGGAAGGTGAAGATGGAGTGGCTGTCCTTTGGATGTTGAGATGATGTACTGCACTAACGTCTTTGTGTTGAACCAACCCTGCATTCCTGTGGCAAAGGCACACCCTCCCTCCCCCCGTCCCAATTCACACTCCTTTTCACCTCGCTTGTTGTCAGTTTTCCACTGATAATTTTGGGCGCCTATACCCATTCCTGTTGAATAATGGTCTGCAGTTTTCCTGAGATATCTTTGTCTGGTTTTGGTATCAGGGTAATACTGACTTCATAGAATGAGTTGGGAAATGTTCCTTTCTATTTTTTGGAAGAGTTTCTCAAGGATCCACACGAATTCTTCTTTAAACATGGAACAGAATCACCAGTGAAAGCCATCTGGGTTTGCCATTATGCAACATTTTTTTGAATCTCTTTAAACGTTACAGGCTGCCCTGGCCGGTTTAGCTCAGCAGTTAGAGCATTGGCCCGCAGTCCAGGGAGACCCAGGTTCGGTTCCCGCTGAGGGAAAAAAAAAAAATGTTATAGGCCTATTCAGTCATTTTTTAACCTACAAAATAGCAATTTTATATAATTCCATTCTACACATTTTCTGTTCGTGCCTGTGTCCAACACTCCACAAGGAAGAGAGGTCTTGGATCTTTCTCATCAATTTGAATCAGCTCTTTATAGTTCATATTTGGTAGGTTTTTAGAGTTTGTTATTTACTTTTAAATTCTGACTCTATCTCATCTACTAAACTGGACACTTGGGTCTGGATGATTCAGACCTACTCCCCTGTACTTTGGTAACTGGCTGCAGGCCAGCTTCTAAGATCCCGGGCTCTCCAACCCCGAACGGATGTCTCCTCCAGCTCTTCTTTCCCCGTCAGGGACTCACAAAAAGAAATCCTTCCTGTTTGCCCAACTGAAACAGATCTGACAAACAGGCAGCTGAGACCTGTATGAAACATCTGCACGCCCACAGCTCCGCACACCCCTCCCGCACAGGTGGTTTGCTGCAGAGTGTCCGGCTCCACTACTTCTGTGATGTTTGCCGTGGGCTTTCTGACAATATTTGCTGACGAAAAGTGCATTTCATTTGTCATCACAATGTTCCCAGCCATTTTTACCAACACAGGAAGGAAATATTTCCCCAACGGCATGCAGCCTTTATCTTTCACAATTAAGAAACCTCACAAGAGGTTTCTAAATATTTATCACAAAGCAGTAGCATCTTCTCAGATGCTGGCTTCAGCCTGCAAGGCAGTACACACCCTGTACATCTTGGAGAGCTGTCTCTGTTCTGCTGTGTCCCACACACACTCCCCAACCACTGTG